TTTACCTTAAGATCCATTTATTTTACTTCATGAGTATTTTCAAATTTTAGATCAAATAAGTTATAAAGAAATAGTTTTTAATGTTTGCAGGGGAAAGAGGAACTCGGTGGTGGAAGAGATGTGGACACATGGTTAAAATCTTGGCTCTCTGACAGGCAAATGATTGACAAGCTGTGACCTTTGTCCTCACGGAACCAGGGTAAGTCATGGCCTGCTTTGCTGCTGTTTTTGCTCTCTCCACAAATCTCTGCTTATTTGGAAAACCTGGCCTCTAAGTTAACGAAGCTGAGTGGGGGCCTCTGCAGAGCCCTTGTGATGTAAAGCATTCACCAGTCCATACTGAAAGGAGCCTAAAATTCTAAATCCAGCGGGCGCCCCGGGCAGGTGAGACTTTAACAGCAGCTACCGATAGGCCCAACCTAGTAATGGGAAGGTGACAATAGGCTCTCTAGCTCCTGGGGATTTGGGACAAAAAGAATGCGAAGAATCTCCTGAGACAGTGGCCCCTACTTAAAGGGGGGCAAGGGCTGGGTCTGTGCTGTACTCACAGGTCATCTCTGGACAGCCACCCAGGGAGGGCTAGAGAAGCACAAACGAGACAGAACTGGGTGATGTGGCTCTTCTTGATCGTCAACTCGACTCCATCTGGAATTAACGAAACCCCAAGTGGCTATATCCACCTGTGAGTAGTTTTTCCTTAAATCATTTGAAGTGGAAGGACCCGCCAGGAAGATCAGGAAGATCCACCTTTAATCTGGGCCACACCTTCTAGTGGCAGCCTACGCATAAGAACATTCGCCTTTCCCGCTAAACCTCTCTAGAAAACCAAACCCAGAAGTGTGTCTCCTAGGTGGTTCCAAATCCAGTCAAATAAACAGACTGACCAGATTGGGAATGCCAAGACACCCAGCCTCCACTACAGTCCTCAGTCCCTGGGGTGTGAGATAGCTGTGGTTACAAATTTAATATCAACCGAACTAATAAACTATATATGTACATGTATCTATTCATCCTCCAGGTTCTGTTCCTCTAGAAAACCCCTGACTAATGCAGGGGTAGTATTCAAAGAAAATAAAAACTTTAAAGTACAAGAATTCTTGTATCTACTGGTCTCCAGGACCCACACTGTCTAGAATAATTAACAACCGAAATTATTGAACGACGCCAAGAATTTTCTTTGAGGAATTTGGGAGATATTTTTATATCTGTCAGTGTTTCGCTTTGTTTTGTTTCTGAGGCGGGGATACTCTCTGGAGCCCTTGGCTGTCTTGGAGCTCAATCTGTAGACCAGGCTGGCCTTGAACTCACAAAGATCCTCCTGCCTCTGCCTCCTGAGTGCTGCAGTTAAAGGCAAGCACGCCGCTGCCGCCCAGCTTCTGTCGATGTTCTTACAACCTTTTATTCCCTGGGTTTTAATTAGGCATCTTCCTTCCTAGCCCACTTTAGGGAATTTGATTTCCCAGCTGAAGCTCAGGCATGGCAGCTGACCCAGTTAAGGCAGTTAAAGGGAATTGAGGGAGGCTGCCTTCTCCCTCAGTCAGAATTTAAAGGACCTCTCACCCAGGGAGAGACAGCCTTCGGGTAGGGCAGCCAAGAGCAATTGACAGGGCCATGGTGTAGCTGAGCAGCTAAACCCTAAAGAGCCCGGTGAAGTGGCCACAGGCCTTCTTTACCCCAAGCTGCCTGCAGGCGCTCAAGTGACATTCCACCAAGAGAGGGGCCTTTGTCCTGCTCTCCTGCTGTCCACTGCATCTGGAGCCTTCCCGGACCAGGCCAGACTGAGTAAGAGGAGCGGGGAGACACGCTGGGTAAAGGCTAGGGTTTTCCTACTCTGGCCTTCCGACCTGGCGTGACTCAGCATCGAGGCAGCAGGCAGTGCCCTCACAGGGAGGCACACGTCAGGTGGGAAGCATTAGAATGAATAGAGTCTGGGCTCAGGATAGAAGTTTTCCAGATTTCCACATGCTGGCCTGCTTGTGGGCAAGGAGCTGATTCATCCCTTCTTATTCCGCATGCCTAAAATGGTTAACACATGTATTGCCTAGAAGCTGAGCACTCGAACAGGGCCTGCTCACAGGTGCACTTTAAGAAAGAAAAGGTCACCCACAGTGGTTGGCTAAGGGACTTGAGGTAGTGGAACTTGTTGGTGGGATAGGGTAGGATGCTGGCTCCGCTGGACAGCTTAGCAGATAGCACAGTATTTCCCCCTTGTTAAATAAGAGCCAGACAGTCGTTAAGTGGTTCGGCTTCACTCATTTCAAGGCAGTGGCCTACCTCAGCGTGAAAAGGTTGCGTCTGGAGGAAGGAGCATGTTGACTGATTCCAGGTATTGACAGTGATGCTAGGGAAGAAGAGTTTCAGGGCTCCAGGTAACTATTTATAGGCTCAAGTGAAAGACTAGGAACAGGTTTAAGTACGGACCACAAGGGTAGAGCAGCTGAGGTTTCGGAATTGGTTGTGAGGACTCCAGTGGTGCAAGCAAAGACGGTGTGGCCTTCTCAGCACTGGTGGCCCGCTGGATGAGTCTGACTAAAGGGCACACAGCAGTGGTAGGACTTCCTGCCTTACTCCCTTACCCCCTGGTAAGCTAAAATGGAGGAGAGAGGCATATCTTATTTTTACACCTTTGGCATGAGGCCATGGAAGACACGCATATGAGCACATGTGTGCGTCCCCCCCCCCAAATCCCCAAACCCCACATTCAGTACGCAGACTTTTACATTTTTTGCTATACAGTTCATATTTTTATGCTATTGTCAGTATTTAAGAAACTTGGAAAGGTTTTTATTGAAATTGAGTATCTTTACAGTATGCCTGCTCTGTAGACATAGACATAATACACTACTGTTCGTGAGCTCTTAGAATGTCTGACTTTTAACTGCATCTTACTTATCTGCGCTTATGTCATGTGTGTGGAGGTCAAAGGATAACTTGGGGTACTCGGTTCTCATCTTCCACCATATGGGTCCTAGGGATTGCACCCAGGTTGTCATGGCTTGTGGGCCAGTGCCTTCACTGATCAAGCTTCCAGCCCAGGATGTCTATCTTTTCAGTTGCATTTTGTGTGTGTGTGTGTGTGTGTGTGTGTGTGTGTGTGTGTGTGTATTTGTTGAGAACAGTTGGACCTGATGTCTCTGTATTTTGAGTGGGAAAACATTAAGAATAGTCCCAATGCCGTCCTTTGGATCTCTAGATGATAATCTCTCCCCACTTCCTCCAATGCCTTACCCATGGTAACCACGGTTCGACTCCCCTCTGAAGTCGGCACCCCTGGTGAGGTCAATGAAGGCTGGCTGTGTTGGCGGTTACAGAGACAATAGCTTGTTGGCATATGGTGCTTGGTGTTAGTTAATTGCCAGCCCCCACCCTCCCCCCCACTGCCCGAGATTCTTACTGTTTATGGGCAAACTGTCATGTACCCCAAGTGTTAACCTTGCCTAAGAAGTTATTCCTGATTGGATGAGTAAAAGGCCTAAAACTGGGCAGGGCACAATGGATTAGGCGTGGCCAAAGTTCTCAGACTTTGGGAGAGGAGAATCATGGGAAGGAGAGAGGTGGGAAGAGAGGAGGAAGCCACGATGGGTTTGCATGGAAAAGGAACCACGTGGGCTGGTAGGACTCCAAGTGGCATGCAAAGGAGCAATCCAGTTGAGGGATGAGCAAGTATTTATGGAGTTACGGATGGCAGGTAGCAGATAGGAATGGTTAAGTAAGATGGAATGGACTAGCGGCTAGGAGAAAATGGAGGGTAGCTTGGAAGGTGGTGTCTGCCATGCCCAACATGAAATGGGGCAAATCTAAAACTCTAACAGGTGTCTATTTTACTTGATTGTGATAGAGGGTTAGATAATACTGTCGTAATAATTATAGGGTGAATAAACGTTATTAGCCCAATACCATTTATTTTCAGCTATGGTAGGTCATGGGGCTTTGATGTCATGAATGCATTTGTTCCTCAATGGATTCATAATTTCATGATTTTATTGGGAAGTGGCAAAGGGTCAGAAAAGAAAGTGGGTCGCAGTGGGGGGTGGGGATGGGCACAGTTCCGGGCGGGCCTTAGATCTCCCGGAGCTTGCACTACAGGTGGCTGTGAGCCATCGGGTAGGTGCTGGGAACTGAACCCGGGTCCTCTGCAAGAGCAGCAAGTGCTCTTAATTTCTGAGCCATCTCTCCAGCCTATGGCGTGTGTGTGTGTGTGTGTGTGTGTGGTGTTTACTTCTATTATTTTAAATTACCTGGTGGGTGGGAGAGTGGTGTGTGCGTGTGAATTCAAGGAGCCTGTGGAGACCAGGGGCATTGGATTCCCCCGAGCTGGGAGATAGAGGTGGTTATGGCCACCTGACAGGCGTGCTGGGAACTGAACTTGGATCTTCTGCAAGGGTAGTATGTGCTCTTAACCACTAAATGTCTCTCCAGCTCTGCCCCTGGGTTTCTTAATGACAGTTTGTCTTTGTTTTTCACTAGGCAAAGAATTTTATTAACCCTTTTCCAAACTTTAATCCCAGGCTTCCTAAGCTTAATTTGCCACAAAGAATGAATTGTGTATAAGCAAAAACTGAAAAGAGCTGCAGTGTCCAGAGGGTTTGGGCTTAAGCTATTAAAGATCAGGTTTTATCAGGTCCATAAACAAAAGAATTTTTAAAAATCAGTCATGATAGAAAACAGCAGTTTCTGTAACTTCTTCAGAAGTTTCCTCACTTCAGTTTGTCTCATCCTTCAAAGCCTCATCAAAATTCTCCACCACATCTGGAACTCTATCATCATCATCCCCAGTAGCAAGTGGTGCTTTTTCCATCAGCAGATTGTCCGGGCAGAGCTTTAACCAGTCTTCTTAAACTAGTCAGACTGTCTGCACCAAGCCGGTTTAGGATGCTGGGAAGCGTTTCTGCCAGAGAGGCCTGAACTTCAGGGTTGCTAATGGATCACTGTCCCTTGGTTTGTAAACATGCTCCCCTCTTCCATACCAGAGATGAATGTTTACCTGTAACTTCTAAAGGACATCTGCAGTTTTTTCTCTGCTGCTGTGGCTGTTCTGTGAACTACCTTCTTCCTACAGGTGGTTCCTTTCATACCAATGCACACTTGGAGCCTGCAGTTTTGTGAGCTTTTCCTGGTTCATGCTGGTTTATTTCATCTTGTCAGAGTGGAAATGGGGCCTCTAGGGGGACTAGGGTTCACACTCGGGGCGTCTCTGCCTGAGTAGCTGAGATAAGGCACGTGGGGACGCAAGATGGTGGCACCGCTTTCATATTCTTACATCCTTGTTCTAGGACTGGTACAGGAATGAGAAGCAAAGGGAAACAACCTCTTTATACCCAGCTTGCTTTAATAGCCGTCAGAAAGACTGCTCAGTGGCCTCTAACCCACCAGTCTGCACAGTGTGCCGTCCTTCAACACGTGGCCATAGCAACATATATAAATCTATATTATACATTTATACACATACCAACATCCTATGAGCACTGTGGAGACACACAGTCTTCAGTACAGAACAGGCCTTGCCTGTGCCATTAAGAGACACGGGCGTGCTGCATGCTAGACATTCAACAGGCGAGATATGGCCACAGTCCCCAGTTCCCCTGAGGGAAGTTAGGATTACAGGGGACAGCAGACTTAAGGGAGTCAGTTCAACTTGAGGTCACATAAGAAACAGAGGTGCTGGGCTAGGCCCAGGGCACCTGGAAGTTGCCATGTTTGCTCCAAGACTCCAAGAACTCTGGTGCGGTGGTATCGACCAAAGTCCTACCTGGCTTGGCCCACAGGGTGGCCTGGCTCAGAGTGGGTCTGTGAGGGGAGCTTGCTGAGCCCCATCCTGTCTAGCAGGCCAATGCCGCTCCACAGTGTGCTTTTACAGCTGTCTGAGGAGCTTCGGCAGTCCTAGCGGTGGGCAGTGAGGTCCTAGTTCCCCTGAGTCGGCCATCTAGAGGACAGATGCTGAGGCGAGGGCTATAATGTGGTGGGCACCGTGCCACCGAGGCCGTTTAGCAGCAGTGCCGTGAGGCCTTCTATGCAGTTTTGCTTAATGCTGGGCCCAGCGGCGAATCATATTCATTGCTGCCAGGATGCCACTCTCCTTCCTGTGACCCGTGTGGACACATCTCGGAGTCCTTTTCTGGACCTCCAGCAGGAGAGGAGTGGGACCAGGTTTTTCTCAGCAGATAGGCAGCTGCACAAGAGGCGGGCAGGTCCACCCTTCCTGCTGTTTTAAGGACCTCTGGCTTCGCTTCTTGTGTGGCTCCTGGAAGGCAAGGGTCACAAGGCTGGAGGGCACAGCAGGGCCTTTAAGGATTTCACCTGCAGACAAGTAGAAAGGGAGCCAATCAGAGGGAGTGCTCGAACCCCACTGGAGGCAGGGGTGAGAGGTAAATATGCTGGAAGCCAGGAGCCTGGTTAGGAGGGAGCACAGGGGTGGGGTAGCTAGCCTGGAGAAGCTATGGAAGCCCAGATTAGACTCTTGCTGTTTACATCTCTGAGTGGCCAGACCCTGCCACTCCCCCTTCAGGAGCTCATTCATGCTCCCAAGTCAAGTGATCCAAAGCAAGCAAGCAAACAGGAACCAAGAGGGCCTTTTACATCTCTCCCAAGAAAGGAAGTGCCGAGCAAGAGAGGAGCAGGACAGACATTCAGCAGGAAGTGGTCCTGGTAAGTGCATGTCCCAGTTATCAGAAGGAGTGGAGCCCGCAGGGCCTCTGAGGTGGTCTGAGATGAGGTCTACCATTACAGACTTGGGGCAGCAGGCTCACAGAGATGAAGGGGCCAGCCAAAGCCACACAGCCAGTCAGTCAGTGACAGGCCCCAGGGCCGAGTGCCTCCCCGGGGGCCTGGGAAATAGAGAGAAAAGCTTCCACAGGCTGGGCCAGCTGGGCCAGTGGCTGGAGGCTGCTGGGTTACCTTTGCTGGGACAGGAATATGGCTGCACCCGGGTAATCTTGTAAGTGTTGTGCTACAAAGGCTCAGGAAAGAAAGGAATTGTCAGAAGAAGGAGGAAATGAGACTGAGACAAGAGAGTGAGCTACATCACAGCCCAACCTGCTTCCGCTTGGGCCTCCACACTGTAGCAGATACAGTTAGAACTTTCTGGGCAGATGCTTGGCTGCCCTGGCAGTGTCAAACCTATGCTCAGAGAATAGTTTCTGACCTTTAAGACACATCACACACACCAAGTCTTCCCTCACACTGCCTCCCGGGGAAGGACCACCTCTTAGCTTTCAAGATGACCATGGAGAGCCCTTGGCAGGGGTGGAAAAATCTTTTCCCTTAAAGGGGCAGTGTTTACTTTCAGGTTTTCTTCTAGATCAATGAGACTAAATAAAGATCGTCTGGGGTCTTTGCAGACAAGGATGTTTCCAGCCTCGCAGCGCAGTGGAGTCCATCTGTAATGTTCTACTTTGCTTTATTTCCACGGGGCCCCTTGGGAAATTCTAGAGTGCGCAACAGGCCTCACAGGCAGACTCCAAATGTCTCTGCCTACGCGCCCCCCCCCCCCACCGCCACCAAGAGGCAACTGCACTGCATTTTTCCCAGCCTCCTCTCCTCACATGAAGGACAGAAAACTACAGTGAGAGGAGAGGTGAGGGCACGCGGTGAGGTCAGGGGAAAAGGGAGGGTTTGCTGAGGAACCACACTGAACCAGAAACCTCTTGGACTGTCAGAGCTAGCCAGGGCCCCAAACACGGGCTGACACACACTGGTGGACTGAGGGTGGGGCTCTGTGGTGGGCACCATGCCACTGAGGCTGTTCAGCGGCAGTGCCGTGAGGCCTCCTATGAAATGCTGGGCCCAGCGGGCCGTGGCTAATCATATTCATTGCTGCCAGATGCCCCTCTCCTTTTCTGGACCTCCAGCAGGAGTGGGAGTGAGGGCAGGCACTGTGGCTCAGTGCTATACAGTGTTGTTCTTACCTCTAGGTTAGTCCGTGCTTTCTTCAAGATATCATGGGTCCTGGTCACTGGAAGCAGAAGACAGCCCCACAAAGTGGGAATTATCATCTGAGCCTGGCTTGCTTGGCATATGCTCCCTAAAGCACTTGGGCCATGGCTAGCCATGGCCCCCTCCCTCCCTCCTTCCCTCTCTGGCCTCCCTTCCCTCTCAGCATTCCTCAGACCCTCTCTGCTATAAGAGCTCTCCCCTACATGCCCCTTAGGGGACACCTACGCTGGCTTACGATGAACTGCTCCATGCTTTTCTTCTGCTGGCTGGTCCTCTTCAGACGCGAAGCAGTGCGCTGAAGGAGCTGTTCCTGTTGGGATACTTGGGCTCGCAGGTCCAGGAGTTCTTTCTCCATCAATTGTCCCTGAGGAAGAGGGACAGACTCAAGACAACATTCATAAGGCTGAATCCACCCTGTGCCTGAGCAGAATGCTACCATCATTTCAAACTTTTGAATTCCCTCCATTAAAACCTCTCAACGCCCGGAGAGAAGAGGGGAAACCAAGGCCTGCTGGGGAGAAACTAAGGCTGCTGAGACCAGCACCAAATCCCAGGCGCAAGCAAGAGCTCTGTTTGGTCCTGTACAATTTCCTTAACTCCTCATCGAAAGTGGCGCTTAGGAGTTCAGGGCCGTTATATTTCTTCAGAGATGGGACTGACCAGAGGACAATGGGAAGGTTTGCTATTAGCTGCCACCCTGGAGATGTGAAAGTACCTTGACTTAGCATAGCTGGGTCAGCCCATGGCATCAGTAACAGTTCTCTGCTTTGGGGTCTAGGGGAGATCCTGAAATGCCTCTGTACAGGAGGAGTCTGTCAGGCACAGCTGCTTGAGACACGAGCAGACCCCCCAGAGGTGGCTGGCTTTCCCTAGCCTGACCCAGAGGCACAGACTCTAAAAAATGTTGTTGAGGTTCTAGAGTATGGATGAGAGAGGCCATAATACTCAGGTGACTTTCTCTTGTCTTTGGATCAGGTAGAACTTAGGGGTGGAGGCCAAATGGTGAATAGGTCTCTTGATCACTTCAGCCAAACTTCAAGGTACAAGACCTGGAAATATCTGGCTGTCCAGGCTGATTATGTCTACTCCCCACATTCTTCGTTTTTCTCTGCTGTCTTGTTGAGAGTTAGAGGGTGGGAAAAGACTGTGTCAGAACCACGATGAAGCAGCATGATGCCTCAGCGGTCTCCCTCCAGGATGCTCCATGAAGAGCCTGCCCATCCCAACTGGCCATACAATACAAGTCCTGACCATCAAGAAAGCTGGAGGAGGCAGGAACAGGGCTATACTGCCATGGAAAAAGTGGCTTTTAACCAGCTGAAGGCACAGCCTCTTGTGAGAATTTTGGTTTCTTAAAAAGCCAAGTTATATTGGGAATAGGTTTTTGTTTGGGATACGGGGCTGCTGCAGACTGAACACGGCAGCTGACTATCACTTGTCTCGTGCTCTGGCTGCTGTTCCCCCTGCTGCTGCTGCCGGTGCTGCTGCTGCTGCTGGTGGTTGCTGCTTGGTACCATCCTGACTATGAAGATCAAACTTGCCCCAAGGAGCTTAATGCCCCTAATCGGCATGAAGTAGTCTAACAAGATGGACACCCTCGTTCCCCTCTAACCTTTTTTCTCTCCTACCTAGTGTTGGGGCATTGGAAGGCACTGGGGAGAAGGGTGGTAGATAGGAGAACCCAATAAGGCAGCCGAAAGCCCAACCACAGCCTCTTACCTCTTTGCCTACCGGTAGAGGATCATGGGAGTTTGGCAAGGCTGCTCTCCAGAACATGGTGAGGAGGGATGCTGACTCTTCTAGGGCGTGGTTCAGAGCCCTGGCACTGTTCCGCAGCTCACAGATGCTTTTGTTACCTGGTGCCTGGGGAACAGGAAAGGTAGTCATGGATATCACTGGACACGGAGCATCCCGTTGCTCAGAGCACGGGGCTCAAGCTTCCTGTGTGAACAAACGCGGCACTCGGGCCTACTGGAAACTCTGGCTTTTTTTTGCAGATCTGGGACAGCTGGGGCCCAAAAGATCCCTTTTGCCTGGGGCCCTTTCCCCAGGATGCCCAACAGGCTTTCAAAACATACCTGTGTTAGTTACTACCTTCCTCGCCTGTAATGCGACCACAGAGGACAGCTCCTCACCCTGTGCCTCTGCGCCTTATCGTGCACATCAACAGTATCTTGCCCTTCAGTGGAAGGTCCTTGTAGACCAGGCTATCCTACGCAAGCACCCACAGGTGTCGACTTTCATGATCATCATCCTTGGTGCCTACTCCCTCCTTACTGAGCGCACTACAGAGCTTCGATGGCTGCCTCCCCTCCCCTGCTCAGTCTGAATAGGGAAACCTGGCTCATCGGGCTCCCTACTCTCCTACGCATACAAGTTCATATGGACACCTGTCCGTCTGGCTGACTTTAATCTACCTAGACATGGCTTTTTGGCAGCATTCCTGTTATAGATAAGCTGCCAAAGATGCTAAACACAGTGACACAGTATGTCAACATGTTACAAGCGCTCTTGTAAAGCCCAGGGTTCCCTGGGGTTCTCAGTCACAATATCAAGTCAGCCTGATCTACAGCAGGATGAAAATGGGAGACAGAAAAGAAAGGCTCTGGCTGGAATAAGCATAAGCCACTTCCGCAGCTGCTGGGAGATGGAAAATAGAGACATAAGGGCTGTGCAAAGAAGGTAGAATCACGGGTACCCAAAATCTTCAGGTGTCGTTACCTCTGTGCCCCGAGCTTCAAGTCCAGAGATGCTGCACGTTGGCTTGATGAGAGACAGTATCTTTTGGACCAGCAGCTTCCCTTCCCCAAGCTGCTGTTGTAGAGCACGGTAGTCATCCATGTGGCCGATGACATGTCGGCCGTGCTTGCTGGCAAAGAAGCCATCTGTAGCATCGCCCTCCAGCTTGTGGGGGTTCTTCATCCCTGGAGAATCATCTGAACCGAGCTCTGACAAAGAGACAAAAGTAGGATCCATTATTATATATAATCACAACTTCAGTTCGCTCTTCTCCAAAGGGACAGCGATAGAGACAAGAAGCAAGCCAGCCTTCAAAAATACAGGATGGTAGAGCCCACTGCAGTGGAAGGTCTGGTGTCTTTAAAAGCTCAGTTATGCTATGTAAGCATGTTTCTGCTTTAGATCATCCATAGCAGCAGACTGTTTGCCTCATGTGGGCTCTCAGAAGGGAGTGACATTTGCTGGCTGCAGATAGTTTGATTCTGGGGAGTCTGGAGGGGGAATAAATGCCAGAACCAGGAGAGAGAGGGTGTATATAGTGGGGGGGGGCGGGGCTCTGAGAAAGAAGGCGGCTGAAGCTCCTCGTTCTGTTGATGTGGTTTGACAAGAAGTCGGAGGTATCCTGAAATGAAGGTTGGACTTGCCCCCAAAGAACCCAACAGCCCTAACCAGCAGAAGTAGCTAAGAGAACTATGCCCTTTCTCCCCACAAACATTTTTTCTCTCCTAGTGTTGGGGGTGGGGAGAGTTGGAAGGGAGGAAGAGGCATAAAGAACCCAATTAAAATACAGTAAAAACAAAAAAACAAACAAAAAACAAACTTGCTTCAGCCCACAGAGCATTCAATGTTCAACACATTTACAATTCTTATGTCATTTTGATAGACACATTTTACTGTGTTGTGGTAGTGTTAGTTGCCACCAGACAGAAATTAGAATTGCCTGGGATGTGGGCCTCTGCGCATGCCTGTGGTGGACCATTTTGATGGCATTAAGCCATGTGGGAAGTTACATTTTAACTGTGGGCAGGGCCATTCCTGAGACAGGGCGTCCTGAACCAGATAAAGTGGGGAAGGAGCACTCATGTGCTCTCCGATCCTGATGCCATCTCACTGGTCCCCTAAGTTCCTATGACTCCCCTGCTGTGATGGAGTGTAGCCTGCCCCTGTGAGCCAGAAACACCTTTCTCACTTTGCTTTTCTCGGGAACCATCACAGCAAAAAGAAAGAGATGTTACGGCATCTTTCAACGGGTGAAACATTCAGGGTAAGTTCTATTAACGAGTGAGCTTTGCATAAAGGATGGCCCAGAAGTAAATCATCTGAATGCAGAGATGCCTCCCTCAAGAGCAGAGCAGTGACAGAGCAGCAGGGAAAAGTACAGAAGGACAACAAAAAAGGCAGAGGGCCATACATGGGCACGAGACTGAGAAAGATCTGGAGACATGGATACTACACGTCAGGAGAGCCAGCCAGAGGTGGTTTGCATCAATCAATGCCCAACCACCATCCGAGGCCTTTCCTCGCTGTATTTACCATCCGTCCCGGTGATGATGGCAGGGTCTGAGCCAGGAGGGCTGGGGAGGACCACGGCTGGAGAACTCAAGCCAACATCCCGGACAGGGGCAGAAGCAGCTGAATCTAGGGAACAAAACAGCCACCATGTCAGGTCCGCCAACACGCTGCTCACTGGGCCACGTGGCACGTGCTCAGGCAAGGTCAACCTCAGGTAACCAGCGCTCACAGGCCACAGCGCAGAGAGACAGCAAAGCACTTAGTGTGTGCTCTTCGAGGGTACGTTTCAAGAGGAGGGCATTTCTAGCTGAAAAAAGATTGATAGGTATCTTATCAGCCCAATTTTGGATCTAATTTGCCATGTAGTGTTTGGTAGGGTGGCTTGAAGTAAAATACAAATACACATAGATATACGTAGTATGGATGTTTAAATGCTGAGTGGCGGCAGGGGGAAAGGCTCAGGAGGAGAACACTTGACCCAGCACTGAAAAAAAAAAAGTTTACAAAAGGATGGATGGGTTCCCAAAGGCTTCAGTTCAGCAGGCCGCTCATTATCTCAGCTGCTAGTAACCGCAGCAAAGCTGTCGTCCAGTCCTGACCCTGATTCCCAGCCTTAGTAACCCTTGCCTGTCCAGTAAGTGTTTTGGGACTCATTTTTCTCATGGGAAATATAGAGGTGGGGGAAAAAATGCCCTGTTTCGATGAAGTAGTGTATTTGAGAACACCTGGTAAGTTCTAAAGCACTTCATAGATATGAGGAATCAATCTTTAGTCTACCAAGTCCTTGGCAGTTATTTTGTTTAATGCTACAGATAACTATGCAGGCTATATGGCTTGTTTGTTTGATCAGTCCAGTTTTCAAATAGAGTAAACCAAGAGTTAAACACTTAAGCATTTAAATGCTTTGCCCAAAGCAGACAACCCTGTAGAAGCATCCCCAGTTCCTGCCTGACCTGACAGAGAAGTTTCAGCATGACTTTCCCCTGTACCACAGACATCCCACTGGCAGAAGACCCCTGCTTCCCTCTTCTTCCCTACCTTGGGAGAGTGGCTGCATGTCTGTAGGCTCCGTGTTGGCTGAGAAGTTCTGGCTAACAGAGGAGGGGCTGAGATTGGCTTTGCCCGCACCACGGTCCAACTGCTGTTCCAGCTGCAGCCGCAGGCAATTGTTCACCTGAATGCTCTGTTCCAACTGCCCTCTCAGAGCTCGGATCTCTGCCACCAAGTAGCTTAGCTCACTGGGGACGTGGTGACAGGAATCTAGGCCGAAATCTGAAAGAAGAAAGAGGAGGGACCTAGGAGCATCCATGTATTTCCATGTAATAGTCAAATTTCGCTCTGTGATGTTCCTTTCTGCCGAGGGTACCACTGGAGGGCCAGGGGCGTGGCCGCACATCTGTGAGACACAACCTTTCTCATTCAGCACCCAGAGCACAGCAAGGTTGTGTATAACTAGCCTGGGATTTCTCTGAGGATCATATTAGTCAAGCTTGCCCTTAGGGCATTTGGACTGGCAGGTGAGAGTAAGCCTACTGTCTTGTCTCCATGTTAAACTTTGTCCTACAGGCTAGAAAGCAGGTCAGCACTGAGCTAGGAAAGAGTGAAGTCTGAGGAAGAAGACTTGATGAATTCCGTACTCAGAGAGGAAAAGTGGGAACCCAGTGGCTCCTGACAATAGAAGAAGCCACAGACCTTAGGCTGGGCTCATGGTCCCCAAGTGAATTTTCAAGTGCTCATCTCCACTTAACACATGTATTTCTACATCCAAGGATAAAGAGAGCTAATAAACCGTCTAGAATTCAACACTTCTTTCAAAACCTGAGAGCTGCTTATGTTTTGAAAGGCAGAATTAGTTTGGGATTTTACTTTCCTTTCCTTTGCTGCTGTGGTTCTCTGTTCGGGCCTTCTGAGCATCTCTCTCCTACTGCTATCCTATATCTCCCCAGGAGCACCTCACCTCTTAATCTAGAAAAATCCCTAAATTCATCCCAGACTGTTCCCAGATTGAAGGTCTCCTAAATATAGCATGTCCCACCAGACTTAGCATCTTAAAATTGTGTTTGCAACATGGAGCTATCTTCCTTGAAGGTAAACTCTGGTCTTGATTTTTAGGCTTTCTATGTGCCAGCAGCTAAAGGAGCTCCCACAGGAGACTCCCGCAGGAGCACCACAGATCAGGACTCAGCCATTTTCCTCACTGCCTGCGAAGATCCTTATACTTCAAGTTCTACTTCCATGTCTCTTCAGCAAACTAAGCAGCTAGATCCAGCTGTAAGAAATCCACTTTTAGCTGAGTGCAGCGGCACACACCTGTGATCCCAGCACTCGGGGAGGGAGAGGCAGGTGGATCCTCTGTGAGCTGGAGGCCAGCCTGGGCTACAAAGTGAGTCCAGGACAGCCAAGCTACACAGAGAAACCCTATCTCAAAAAAACAAAGGAAAGAGAGAAAAAGAAAGGAAGAAAGAGAGAGAGAAAGAAAGAGAAAGGAAAGAAAGAAAGAGAGGAAGGAAAGAAGGAAGGAACGAACAAACAAAGAAAGAAAAGTTAATTCACTGTTGCCCTCTGCCACTAACCCCTTCCGCCCTTTGGAGGGGACAACACAGACCAGAACTCTCAGGTCTGTACCTGAGAGTTCAAGGTAAGACTTATCTCCAAGTGATCATTTTTTAAAAGCCTAAAGTTGTTCAGTTACTTCAGTCGGTTCAGGATTTCTGCTGGAAGACCACTGTGGCCTCTGCCTTCATTACGCTCTGTCTCGTGCCACGTACATCTCGGAAGAGCGAGCCCCACAGACTAGCTGCGTAGAAGCTGAGGTCTCACCACACGGGCATTGCGTCTATATACCGCCATGGTCGCAGGCTCACTGGAGCTTTCAGCAACTTCTGCCCTACAATTTCCCTGTGTAAAAATGCTTCTCCCGACTCACCAGAGCTGGGGCTCCCCGTTCTATACCTCTACCACCGACACTTTTGGTCAGCTTGCATTTTTATTTTTAGTCTTTTCTGACCACGTTACTTGATTTCAGTGAGTTACGACCCGCTGTGACTCACTAACATAATGTAACTCATTGTGCCTTTCTCCATTTGAGTAGGGAAATGTATTAAGATTCTCAAATACTAGATTCTTATTTCAGCAGATGGAAAAACCTTTCGATAAAGTACCTACTGTTTAAACCTAGGCTTGAAATATAAGACTTATTAGCAGTATTTCACTAGGCACTTTTTTCTTTTGGTTTTGAGGCAGTTTCTCCTCGTGGGGAAGGTAGGAGGGTAGATGAGGATAGCATGGGCTGCCCTGGTCTATCCTTGGGCACATTTAAAATCTTTTCAGATGGTGACAGCCCGAGGGAATTTCTTCACATAAACAAAAGCGTGCTATCTATCATCTTGCCCTAAATTTCTATTTTTTTAAATTATTATTAAATGAGTGAAGTGTGCCCCCTTGCAGTCCATCTGTAAGGGTGCCCAAGGCTCCGTCTGCTCATATCAACAGTGCCTCACCCTCGGGCTTTTCTTGAGAAGGGGGAGGGGGCTCTCATACCTTTCAGGCACTTTTTGGGATTTCCACAGAGCGATTCGTAGATCTGGAGCTCGGACTGCAGGGACAGGGAGAGCTGCTGCTTTTCTTCGCACTGCTGTTGCAGGAGGGCTAGCTTGTGCTGCAGCCTGCCAAGGAGAGGCACGGGTTCACTGAGCCACGTTCGTGCGCGCGGGGAAGCAAGCTGGGAGCCAGCCTTTGCCTCAGGGACTCTGGTGGGCTGGGTGGGCTAGCTTAGTTAGCTCCCTTCTCTGGCAGCAGGGCAAACACATTACAAGGCCGTCTTAGCAGTCTCCATGCTGACGGGCAGAAGCAGGGCCTCCACTAGCACAGCACCTCTCGGTTTATGGAGAAAGTGATGTCGTGCAGCTAATGGGAAGCGCGCAATGCTCTCCTGCCAGCGTCTGAGAGATACGAAACTTTGTAACAGGATTTCATCTCTCTTCTTCCTGGAACAAAAACCTATTCTTTTTGCCCAAAATAGAGTCTTCCTTTTGCTCTAAGTGACCAGTGGAGCGGGAATAGTGATGGAGAAACTGAGTGTTTCTAAATACTGTTTTGTCAGTATTCCTTCTGGACTGAAAGCGTGGCCACCCCTTATCAAGGCCTGCCTACCTGGAGTCGTTTTCCTGGAGGGCTAGCCTCTCCTCCCGGAAATGCAAGATCTCTTCCTGCTTCCCCTGCAAGTCTTCTAGAAGCTGCTGCCGCTCAGCCTTTTGCTGCTCCAGCTCCTTCTCCAGCTCTTGAAGCTGAGATCCAGAGGAGAGCAGAGCCTCCCGCAGGCGGTCCGTTTCCTGGGAGTGTCCTACTGAGCAGCACACAGGGGTTTTTACTCCAGGCCCAAAGCTCATTAGAAAGACAAACCCAAACACACGTGAGGGCGGGGCCCTAAATACTGGTGTGTGCGCGGTTCCTGAAGCTCAGCCTCATCTAGATCCTCACACACAGCTGCTGAACTGTCTGTCCGCCTTCCATCTCATCAAAGGCCAGCACTGATTTCTCGTTGATGGTTTTTAGGCTATAATCTTTTCATCATTTTGAAAATTAGGATATTTGACGTTTTCTGGCCATGGGATAGCTCTCTGATCAAAACCTCTCGAAGATAATCTACATATAAGACTAGTTCTCAGGTACAGTTGTGCTCATTTGGATCTCTTGCTATTTACTCTTTTCCGGTAAGGCCATCCTACTCTCTCCCAGCATGCATCGGTAGAATAATCTCTCTGCCTTCCCCCTCATCCGCCAGCCATAGTTATCTTCCAGCAGGGGCCTTGCCTCACATGTCTTCTTGTATTGGAGCTGCTACCTTAGAAATATCTCTTCTTGTCTTTTGCCTCCACAAGGATTCCTTCATTCTGGACTTAATCCTTTCATATGTTGCTCTTAGCTTTTTAATGGCTGTTCAATAAATATTTGTAAATAAAAATAATTTGTTACTAGCTATATATTGACTTAATCAAGTCAATTAATACTGAAGTAATTTGCCTCCCAGGCCACATGTGAAACTGGGCCCGCTTATAGATGACTGTTAAGTAGGGTTGGAAAAGTTCTAGAGGACACAGAGCCTGGGAGGACTACCAGAGAGCATCCTGAGTGGTGAATGTAGCAAGAAGGTTGCAGAATGTCAGAGCAGGACCCAGACAGCTGTCAGCTGTACCAGCCTGGAGATGGAGGAGAGAATACAGACACACGTGCTTCCTGTTTTGTGGGTCCCCATCAGCTGTGAGCAAGTGGAAGGGGGAAGATTGCAAACTGATGTGACAGCTGGGTAGACAGGCACTGCTCTTGGATGTGGGATAGGGTTCCTAGGGTCATTCAGTCTCAGAGCCTAGGAGCCTGAGGGCCAGGGTTGGGAATTTCTTAGGCCAGTGGTTCTCAGCCTTCCTAATGCCGTGACCCTTTAATACAGTTCCTTGTGTTGTGGTGACCCCCAACATAAAATTTTCATTGTTACTTCATAACTGTAATTTTGCTACTTTTGTAAATCATAATGTAAATATCTGTGTTTCGTAATGGTTTTCAACCCCCAAAGGGGTTGCGACCCACAAGTTGAGAACCACTGTCTTAGGGCATTGCCCTAAGTAGCCTCTGTAGGCAGATTGGCAGTATAAATCTTGGATTGGTAAATTTGGGCAGCTGTTACATCAGCCTTCTCTCTGCTTTTCCAACTGGTGATTGTGATGACCAGGGCAGAAACTAGAAGGAACCGTTGTCTGCTTTTGCATGACCCACCTTTGGCAGCGAGACTGAGCTGCGCCTGCAGGCTTTGGTTTTCTTCCCTCAGCGCTCTGTTTTCACTGTAGAGCTGAGGCATGGAGTCCAGGCCCTGACTGTGGAAGTGAGAGGTGGAGCCTGTCCCAGAGAACACACACATGTCGTGTAACAGGTGCTTTCCCAGTCCCTCAAAGATCTGCCGTCCCGACCCAACAGACATCTCGGGCCCTCCAGGCCTACGGTTAACTTGAGCATAACTGCTGGGTGCTGGGGAGTATGTGTCTGTTTCCAGAGCATGAAGTCTTCATGGGCACCTCGCACGTGCAGCCGCTACAGTTCTGTGGGAAGCTTTCCCTCCCTAACTGGCTGGGGCTGCTGCACGGAAGGAGCGGTTGCTTGTACGAAGAGTGACATCCAAATGGCAACCTCTTGGGTGGGTGGCAGAGGCGGGGACTAATGGCCTCTCTAGTGAGGTGGAAAGTGTGTGTGTTGGGGGGGTGTCTTCATAGTTGGGGCTCTACTGCTGACCAGTCATAAAGACACAGAGAACCAGCTTTAAGGACAAGAGGCCAGAGCTTTGCCTGAGGAAACTCATTCTCTGAGCTCACATAAAATCTGTAAAGTTAGCGGTGGTGCATGCCTGTGATCTCAGCACTCAGGGAGTCAGAGGCAGATGGATCTCTGTGAGTTTGAGACCAGCCTGGTCTAGAAAGTGAGTCCAGGACAGCCAAGGCTACACAGAGAAACCCTGTCTCAGAAAAACAAACAAACAAACAAATCTGTAAAGCTGCCCCTACCCCTACTTGATTGACCGTGACAATTAAGTGAAGTAAAGACTATCAGACTGGGGCTTTCCCTTCAGTCGGGACAGAGCCTGGGCCTCGCTGGGACCTACCGCTTTCCCGGGTGGTGGAGCTGAGCCTGTGCTGCAGCTGCTCCCGAAGCCGGTCATTGACACATATGGATTCCTCCAGGCGCTGGCGCAGGTTCCGGATCTCTCCTAAATGCTCTTCCAACAGGTCAGCCCCTGCAGCCATCCCAGGACAGAGCAGAAGCAGGAGAGAACACTGGTTACTAGGGTGGGGTGAGCTCTGCCAGTGGACATTTAGCCTGACCCTGCTGTCACCTTCTTCTGCCCACTGTGTTCTTTCATATAGGCAGCTTCACTTAACGGGAAGGGAGCGCTGTATCCACAGGGTGGCCCCTTGCCAAGGAAAGCCCATGGGCCTCCATCCATGGGGAAAGGAAGCTCTGTTATCACTTAGGAAATAACTGACAGCTCTAACTGAGCTGTCCAACTGTCATCTGGCAAGGAGTGTCTACTTCTTGGGTGTGGTTTTGGGGGCAACTGGGAAGGCCTTGCTGCCTTTCTTTCAATCTCCTTATTCTTTCTGATAAATGTCTTAAAGGTTTTTTGCTCATTTTTAGCAAAATCTATCCTTTCTGACCTTGAGAAGGCCTAGCGTAAAAACCACATGCCTTCAACCTACTCAGCATGGATTGGGGCTGGCAATTCAGTGCTTTCTATGCCACTTTTAGGCAGTCAGAAGAAGGAAATCCCAGCATGGATCTAGGACCCTGAAGAACCCCGCAAAGGAAGCATGCTCAGGTTATGAGTGGACCATCTCTGTCTCCTGGAGTTTCTTACTGTTGGAACTGAACTACGTCCTGCTGTTTGCCTCCTTGGTTAGACCCCTCCACTTGGTATGACCAGCTTTTGTACATAGGGCATATCTGAGGGGTAGAGAATCTGTACCCTTTCTCTATATTTCCCGACTGAAGAGAGAAAGTCCCAGCTCTGCGCCTTACCCGTGGGCTTGGAATTAAGCTGGTACAATGAGGAGCCCAAGGAGAGGTCCCCAGAGACGCTTCCCTTCTGCGGTCTCATGTCCCACTGGCCACCGCTACCCAGGTACCCAGGCTCCAGCATTCGGCCCAGCTCCATGGAGCCCCTTGTGGGAGAGTGGGGCTTAGCAGGGCTGAGGTAGTGGGAAGAGCTGGCTTCTGGATGGTTGCTCAGCAGCGTGGATGTGGACGCCGGAGGAGCAATGCTAACACCTGGGCAGAAAGAAACACAGCGAGAAACAAATGGCATCAGAAACCAAGAACCAGGAGGGCCATGGAGGCCGCAGAGAATGGAGACGAGCGAGGGACGTGGGGCAGGTCAGGACGGGACCAGTTCATTGTGGGATATCAGCTAGATGAAGACTCAAGACCCCAAGCCTGACTTCCACCCTCTGCATTTCCGAGCATGAGACACCCAGAGACAGAGGATAATGAAGGACTGGAAAGGCACCTGCCTGTACATGCAAAGGAAAAGCCCTGGAGCTCCACTACCGGCTCCTATACTTCTTCCTCCTGGCAGAGTCCAGGAAAGTTCTGGAAGTAGGAGTCAGCCCAAAGGTAGGGCTAGAGAATGTGACAGGCTGCCTGACTGGGCACACCCACAAATAGGAGTATCAGTTTGCCTGTGCTTGCTGCCCCCTAAATCTGACCAGTCAGTCTTTCCATGCATCCACTGGGGAGACAGTGTGTATGAAATCCGGCTGGACTCCTCCAGATGGAAGAACTCTTGCTCAGGCTGGGGAAGCCTTGTATAGGAGAAGTTGTGCTCTGGATCCCTTCCCTTGGGGGAAGAATGACCCTTTCACGGGAGTTGCATAACATATATCTTACATATCAGATAATTACATTACGATTCATAACAGGAGCAAAGTTACAGTTATGAAGTAGCAACAAAATAGTTTCATAGTTGGGGATCACCACAACATGTATTAGGTTGAGGACCACTGCCTTAAAGGAACACTAAACATATTCCTAGGGTGATGCTCTCAAAGACCCTATGAAACTGTTGGCCCCTCCTTGAGCCCCTTAAGCAGAGGCAAGAGCCCAGGTGATGTCCTAGATAGCCTGCTTCTGACCCATCTAAGGAGTGTCTGAAAGGAGGGTCCCCACAAAGAATTTAGATTACCACTTTTATTTTTTAATGACAAGAATAGGAAAAAAAAAAAGTGGGGAGAGGCGGTGCACAGGTCCATAGTTCAGACAGTGTGGAAGGCTGATTTCTTTCAAACATTTATCAGCACAGGCAGGACAGACAGGCAAACAGGAAAGAGTCCATCATTTCCTCCAAGCAATTCAGACTCTGGGCAAGCATTAGCACACCTACAACTGCCACTGACCAATTTTTAGTCCCCAGTTAGAACTAGTTCTCAAATTGGGCTGTCTGTTAGAACCACCTGAGGAAATGTAACACACACACACACACACCGGGGCAACCACAGATAGTTCTGAGATACATATTGAGCACTGGGCATTTAAGAAAGTCAACCCAGGAGATTTGAACAGGCGGCAGACTTCGAGGAGTATTGTTGTAGGTTTTTCCTTCCTCGGTTATGCAAGCCACTCATTAGGATTAAAGAGGAAGAGACTAGGAATTTAAACATTCATACTTTTTAGTAGGGACTTCACAAAGACATGATTTCCTACTCCTCTAGGCCTGATGCTAACTTACTCCCAAACAAGGCAAGAGTCATGGGAGGTTTTAAGTCTATTGGTGACAGTGATGGGTATTTTTGTGACCCAGTTTCCTCTGGTTGCACACCCAGAGCCCATGCCCTGAACCATGCAAAGACACCATTCCAGGAGTTCTTAGCCCCACACACCTAGGGAGCTGCCATGTGCCAGTGTGTACCTGGAAAGTGATTCACAATAAACAGTGAGCCCTGACTGATGGTCCATTGGAGAGGACCCCCTGCAGATGGGAAAAGGAAGAACTACAAGATTCTTTACAAAGGCTGGGACCATCTCAGCCAACATCAAGAGCCTGAGACTGTGTGACTCCAACCCACAAAAGACCCATTTTATGCACAGGGTTCTCCTTCTGTTTTTTTCCTTTTCACAAAGAGATGTTGACAACCGTAAAATGGTACAGGAAAAAAGAAAGGAGGAAATAGAAACCAAAGAATGTTCATGCCGTCTTGACATGGGGCATACTTGTTGCTGTCAGAACTGCTAACAGGACAGTGTTAGGTCATAAGTACTAGCCCATCTGCTGGCCTCTAGAGGGAAAGAGAACACAGCTGTAAAGGATCATCAGACTGTTTCCATTGGGCTGAGCCCACAGCCTAAGCGGCAGGGCGTCTAAACCACCCCGCAACAAAGCTATGAGGAAAACCATACATCAGGAGCAAAAGGCAGGCTCCAAGCCCATCTCTCTCAGATGGCAGTTACCTTCAATCGTAGCTGGTCGCTCTAACTCCATGCACCACACAGGACTCTTGTGAGGCTCAGGCAAGACAGTCATGCTAGGCAAGCCCTACACTGATCTGGAGGAATCTGATAACAGAAGACTTATTCCCTTCTATCTCATGGCCTACAGAACTGGAAAAGTCCCCTGAAAACTTGTTATGGTCCAGTGGCTTCTGTAATCCAGCTGGGTGCACTCTCAACAAACTACCTGTTTTCAGGGTTGATGGAAAACAAAACAAAACAAACAAACAAACAAACAAAAAACAAAACCAAAGCTGATCCAAATGCCATCAGAGGGTTTACAGATATCAACTCTTGACTGTGCTCTGTGGTCAGTAAATATCCCAGGTATTATCCAGTAAATACTGGAGTATTTACTCGCTCACTCAAGCCCTGTTACAGGCACAGGATGTGACTTCAGTATAAGTCTCAAACCCTTTCTAGTTGTCTTGAAAGTCACCACTACAAAGTAATTCTTCCGTTCTATACCTGGCGTGATCACGTCGTGAAATCTTACGGTGAGGCATCCAGTGCAGATCCTTTTCTGTGAACTGTGCAGCCACATACAATTAACTACCCGTGGGGTCGGAGGGCAGAACTCACAGGCGTTGTCACAGCCTGAGGTTACGGTTCCGTCCGTCTACATGTGCTGTTTCCTGTTTTGCGGTAGAATAAGCCTTGCCTAGACTGCCAGGGATGCACACTGATGCACTACACTGCGCCTGAGTCTTTTAGCAGTCTGTGGGGCTGAATCCGAATACCTCCTGTAGCTGATGGGGCACACCGTGGAGACAACGGCAGGTGCGGTTCAGACAAGAAGCAAGCGAGCTTTCCCTCCGTCTGCCACCTGGGATGCGTGCCTAGTTTTCCCCTTCGCCACTAGCAAGCCAAAGCCATGCAGAGCCACACAGCGCGTGGGCTGCCAAGCGTAAGCACACCAAGGCAGCAACAGTGCTCACTTTCTCCCAGCTGCTTCTGCAGCATCTGCAGCTCTTGCTGAGCCTCAGCCAGGGACACCACCGGTGTCTCACAGCCACCAAGAAGGGGAGGGCCAGAGGGGCTGAAAGGCACGAAGCTGGGTGGAGTTGAGTGCATCGGTGCCTGGGAAAGGCTAGCCAGCCTGGGTATGGAGTTAAAATGAAAGCCTAGAAATAAAGAGTGAGGGAGAAAGGAGACATCATTAGAGAGAAAGAGAGGAAGAGAAAAACAGAGAAGGTAGACCATTCCCTCGTCAGCCGTGGGCCTGTCGTGTGGCCAGGACTTGCTGTGACACAGGCTAAGCCAACGAGGCCAAGTGCTATTCCTAAGAAGCAGTCTGGCAGGTCTCTCTGCCCTATCCCTTTGCCAGGCTCACCTGCATCTACATCCTCTCCTCAACATGGAGGCAACTGACTGCAGAGGCAAGACGGCATGACTGATTTCTGCTGTACTTCAGGATGGCTGTGCAAAGCAATTCCCCAAAGGCCCCCGGAGTGCTCGTCCTCGAGTATACCAGCCCTTCTCTCTGGGAAAAAGACTATCCATCCAGAACTCTTTTTTTGGACTGCATCAGGCTCATACTGAGGACAGCAGACTAGACCAGGCTTTCTTAGTAGGCATAGTGTGGGAGTCTGGTGGGAACAAATGCTAGAAATCCAAAGCAGTGTGTTCATTCGTAAGATGAGAAACAGCCATGGGAGTGTGGCTGAGGTAGTGGCTGGCAAGCCTGCCTGATAAAACTACTTAAGATATGTATTATTTTATATTAACTGAGCAGAGGAATGGGCTTCATTGCGACATGTCTGTACATGTGTGTAATATACCTTGATTATATTCTCCCAGGAGGGTGCTGTCTTGTTTTTTCTCCTTCCCTTTTCTAGTCTTCTTCTTCCTAAAAGGTTTCACCCCCTCCTTCCTGTGACAAGATCTTCCTCTGCAGTACAGACTTGCCTCCAGTCATCATGATGTTCATAAGCGCTGTGCTAAAGGTGTGTGCCACTGACCCTTCTGTACACACCAACCTGTGGTGGTGCAGAGCAGTAAAAGAACAGTGAACTCTGGGAGGAGGACCCAGAAGTTTAATTTAAAGGAAGAATCTTTTCCCTCAGTGATCCATGTGCAGCCAAATCTTTAGAAACACTGTGAACATCTGTTTATTTTTCCAGTGGGGAGCAAGGCAGAAATCGAGACTCTCCTGAGATAGACTTGTATAGAAGACATGACTGCATCTTTGGTCCCGTGGTGCTGATGCTGCATCGGAGTGATACCGCACACCCAAACTGCCTAGAGACAGCCCAGGCATCTTTTAGGAAGGCATGAGCTTAGGCTCTGAGCTGAAAGCAGGTTATCTATGCTCTGGGTGAACACACTGTCCTTCATGATCTCCTGGTCCGGCTGCTGCTCCCTCACACCCAGAACCACAGAGCCTGGGCACAGATAGAGAAAGGACGCATACTGCTCTTCCTTAAGACTGTGGTTAAATTGCCCTTGGGAGGGGTGAAGGTGGCAGAGAGCGAGACTGGGCTGTCTGGGAGTCAGACCTAATCCCACACTAAGTGAAGGTAGTCAGGCATAGAAGACGGCAGGAAGTGGGATATCCCTTCTATATTGTCTTTGAAGCAGAACTGTGAGTGATCAATGGAACCTCTGACAACTATGCCGAGATATGAAGATGAATGTTCCCCTTTCATTGTCTGAAAGGTATGCATCATTCTTAAGTTCACTGATGGCATACAAAATAAGCAGTGTTTAGCTCTGAAGTTAGCTGCATCACTTATGAAAAAGGGCATTGGACCAGTTAAGTAGGTAATATTTATGGGATTAATAGATGTCAGGTTTTTTTTTTTTTTCTATTATGATCCTATAAAAATGCTGGCCTCTGTTCCCAGGGGCTTATTTAAAAAGGAGTAGCCAGCTATTGGTCAAAACTGGTTCATAGATCAAAGCTTACTACAGATAATTGCTTACTTTCTAATATTTCAAAATAAGACATAGATGGTGAGTGAGAGTGGCCTCCTGATTTGTCTCAGGTGCGATGGATTTAGGCTTCTAGCAGTTTCCACCCTTATCCCTGAAAGAAAACCAAGCAGGCAGCTGAGAGAGAGAGAGATGAAGCTACTGCCCCACTGGCCATTGCATACCTGGATGGGCCTGGCTGGCCTCCTTGGGGGGATTCTGGGGAGTTGGCAAGCTGATGGGCCTGTTGCTGGACTCGACCTTAAGCCCCTGAGATGCACTGGTTGGTGATGGGTTAGAAGACAACACAGCAGAATGATGGATGGAGTCTACAAAACCCATGAACGAAAGAAAATGTTTGGTGTTCTACAGAGAACTGGAACCCAGGCCTTATACTATCCAGAAGTACCAGGGCCAGAGGCTGTCTGTCACAAAAAGCTCCAAGGAGAAGGGCCTTTGGCAGTATTCATTTTCTTGCTTTTCAATAGCTCCTTCAGTAAGGGAACAGCCTTCAGGGGGAACAGAGGGAGTTTACAGCCTGGAAATCCTGAAGGAGCACGTGTGGCAGCAGCTGTGCAAACCCACAGATACTCGGGGGCACTGTACAGGAACTGCAAGGACATGAGGAGCTCCATCTTAAACAAGGAGGCCTATCGGACAGAGTCAGTGGGAAGTAAAGGCTGGCCACCATCTTCTCATTCAGGATCACATGTCGCCATGTGCCTGAGGGCAGAATGCAGAGTGACAATGACTTGTAGAGTCAGGGACAGAGGAAGGATTCTCACCAATGGGAGCCTGGGACTTGGTCCCAGAACTATGTTCTATTCAGCCTGCCTCACACCAAAGTGGACTATAAGGCCTGGATCCCAAGGTCTCCTCTCAGGATAGACAGAGGAGGTACCTCTCCGACAGTGCAGGCTACCTGAGTGGCTGGGTGAAGGTTTCTTCTCCTCATACTGTGTGTACTCGCTGGCTACATCCATGTCAGAGCAGGCTTCTATCTCATCTGACAGGAAGGATGTGCTGCTGGCAGAGCGGTGGGAGTCAGACATGGCATGGCTGCTGGGGGGTGAGAGAGACCGGGTATCCAGCTTGGCCTGTAGGACTTCAATCACTTTCTCTTTCTCCTGTAGCTCCCTGCTGAGCCTGGTGGGGAGAGGAGTAGGCCACAGGTGAAGCCAAGGTCACCCAGCCTCGCTAGTCTTTACCAAAGCTCACAGGGACCCCATGCAAGCCGAGGCCACTGTTCGGTATAGAGTGTGAAAATAACGCATCTCTAGCTGGACACAGGGCGCATATATGGTATAAATGGGCAGGAGGCAGTAGCTGCGCAGTGAACAGGCCACATGCTGAGTACCAGTAGAGGCACAGCCAGTCCTTTGAGGCATGGCCGCTTAGCCGGTGGCCTCCGCACAGTAGCCTTCTGAGAGCTATTAGCATCTCCAAAAACCAAAAGGAAGCCTTGAAAAATAGGGAACAAAACATTGTCTCGACATCCAAAACTAGGACAGGCAGTCATCTAGCTGACTCAAGTGTAGCCCCTTTACGTGTCTGTGATGGCTGAGAAGCAAAGCCAAAAAGAACTACAAACGCTGTGTCCTACACCACAGACAATCTGAGGAGCGCTTTCGTGATCTGAGACACAGCCATGGCACAAAGAGCTCAAACCAGTGGCCGCAGATGACCCGAGCCTTCATAAGCATATGTGCTGCTGAGTGCTCTCCCTAGGGAACGGCGGCCTTCCAGGTCTCTGCACCACCTGGGCCGCCTTCTCTACATCCAGTCAGAGGACTCTTCTTTCTCCAAGGATGCTCAGTAAACCCCAGGGCAGGCCAACCTTGCAGGAAGCTCACAGGGTCGCAGGGAGGGGAAGCAAACCCCTGAGACACATGTGGTCCGCTCATGGGCCACCCTGCTTCTAGCTTGCCACACCTGAAGCTTTACTAGTGGCAATGAGATCATATCGAAAGAAAAGAAAGAAACTGGGGGAAAAATGTGTTCAATGAACAAGTGGATTAGTCTCATTCAGTTTCCCCTCTCCTCATCTGCGAACTTGGGGCTACCCTGACTGGGTCCCTTGACCAGACTATCTTCTGAATTACCTGAGGGCCAGTGGCTCAAGCCCGGCTTCTTCCTTCTCGCTTTTATGATCCTCTGCAAATTAAGTTGAGAAAGTAACAGAAGTTAAGCAGGTTCCATGGCACACATTGGAGAGCATGGGTCCTGCTGGGACACAGAACGGAATCATGCTACACACAGGTTCAAAAAGTTATTTTGAGTACTCAAGTTATGTCTGTGTGTGTGCAGACATGTGGATGTGTGCACCTGTGTGTGTGTGTGTGTGTGTGTGTGTGTGTGTGTGTGTGTGTGTGTACAAGCCTGTGGAGGCCAGGGGACAGCATTTTCTTTTTCTCCTCCTCCTCTTCTTTTTCTGAGACAGTCTCTCACTAAACTTGGACTCACCAACAAGGCTAGGCTGTCCTGGCCAGCAAGCCCAGGGGACCGCTCTGTCTCTGGCTCCTTGGGCTGCGATTACATGTGTGTGTTACCATGTACAGGCAGACTCTGGAGGATTGAACTCAGGTCTTTTGGCTTGCAAGACAAGAACTTTACTGACTGAGCTACTTCTCCAGCCATGAGTTATGTCCTTTTTACCAGCACAAAGTAACTATACAAAATAATGGGTTTCATCATGAGGTTTCCGTAGATGTACACAGGATACTTTATGATAAAGTCCTCTGTAGCCCATGCTTACCCCCACCCCTCCTGGTGGGCCCTTTTCTGTCCCCTAAGAACTGGCCTCCCACTTCCATGCTTGCTATTATTAATATTTTATGCTATTAATATTTTATAGTTTGCCTCCTGAGTCCGCTTGTGAGAGAACACCCAAGATAACTCTTCTTTAGAGAGGTGATTAAGCAGCTCCCGAAGCTCACCAGCAAGACTACCTTTGCCGTGGTCATAATCATGACTTTGTATGTCCAAATTGGGGCTAAAAAATATATTTTGTCTCAGTGATCACAAGATACTTTCCCAGCTGCTCTCTGGAATTGTCCAGCCTCCTGTGGCAGACTGGCTCCCACGAATGGGAGTCTCAGCCACCCAAGCCTGGGACTGTGCCGGTGTCGACTTACTGGTGCTGAGTTTGCTAGTGAGTCTCTCTGTCAGCTGGCCTCCCTGGGCAAGTTGCTCCCGGAAGCTCTGTCCCAGGTAGTAATCAATGTCGTTGCTCCTAAGGAGGTCCTCAAAAGATTTTACCGTATCTTTTGCATGTTGGGTGAGAAGATAGCATATACCTCTCCCTTCTCGTATTTTTTGACGCAGATATGATAGTTCTCGGGCCTGATCCTGAATCAAGGAATCGTATTTTCTAATGCAGGGAAGAGGAGAGAGAGAGAGAGAGAATGAAAAAGAGTGAATGATGAGTTACGGGGCTTCCTTTGAGAGTCCTCTGTGAGAACTCTAAGGAACTCCCAGACTCAGAATTTGACTATTCAGTTTAAAAGTAAATTCCATGCTGAGAAACTGCTGCACAAAAAATGTTTAGGATGCCATTTTTCTTAGCTCCTCTAGAATGACAGCCACATGAAAGACCCAATTGAATTGAGTGAGTCCAGAGAACCATGGGAGATGGTAAAGCCACTATGTCTTGGACTGGTTTGCTACTTAGCGATAGATAATCAGGACAGAAGCTGAGATGTATGCCCATTCAATATTTTTCAGCATAAAGTATCAGTAATTGTGATAAATGGAAATAGCATTTCTTGGGGGGTTGGTCAGGTGCTATGTATTCTAATGTTACTTACTGGCCCCCAAGATCTGGTTGCCACCCAGGGAGCACATTCTTAAATACACTGATCTTTGTTGTGTAAACTTTGCTCTACCAAATTTAATTGGTTAATAAAATAGCTAAAAGCTTGTAACTGGGCAAAAGAGAAGTTGGCAGAGTTTAGGTTCCCAGGCTTCGGGTCTCGGAGGGACCATGAGGCTGGGAGGACAAGAGAGAGAAATCAGAAAATGTAGCAGGAGGAGAGGAAGCCAGAGAGAAGGGAGTCACCAGGAGACAGGATGGACCATGAGCATGTGGCCATGAGGGCTGGCCTGATGGAACAGAAGCAGCCCAGATAGGAATGATTAAGGCAAGTAAAATGGGGTGTGTAGCTGGGAAATATCAAAATAGATTAGAGGGTTGATACTTGCTTAGTTACTGTGCTTTAAAGCTTTTTGTAAATCCAAGCAATCTCTTGGGTTCTTTGGGTGTCTCGATTATTTGGGAACCAGCTAGGGTAGAGTAGCCCTTGAGAGTCTAATATCCACTTCCATAGCAAGCATTGAGAGCTTAATACATGCCAGACACTACTCTAAGCACATATAGCAAAGTAGTTCAATTTAGCCCAAAACTGTCCTTAACGTGGGTTCTTTTATTCCTTCACTTCACAGCAGAGCAAATAGACTGCGGAAGGCTGATTGGTCTGTACAGCTCATAAGTGGCAGAGCTAGGATTTCAAGTCATCTTCCAAGCGGCCCAAGAAGTCCAAGACTACCCTGTACCACTTCTATTGTCATATTTTTAACATCTGTAACAGGACAGCTCGGAGATCTGCCACCAACACCTAATATGGGACTGGTCGTCCCTGTCCTTATCTTCCCTCAGCTCCTCTGCTACTTACATAAGTGCCCTTCTGATGACATGGACACATTCTCCCTCACAACTGCCAGGGCCGCCCTGTTCCAAGAACAAACTCAGACACGGATAGAGGTGAGGGCCTTCACTGTTGCCCTTACCCAGGCCACGAGGCAGCCCTCAGCTCTTCATCCAGCTTCCCCTCTAGTCCAGTTTTTGGGAGCTGGGCCTCCAGTTGGGATACTCTCTGGATGAGACTCTCTAGATCCTTCTTGGCCTGGATCCCTGGAGAATAAAAAGCCCCGGTGCCATCAGACAGCCACCCCTCGTCTTCGTCAGTGACACTGTGAGGTGAAGATCCCTCAAGGGTGGCAACGGCTCTCAGCTTCCGGGGCCTCTCCAAACTGGATGAGTAATCACTTGTGGCAGAGAGGGACCGGACCCGGCTCCTGAGGTTCTGAATGACCTTGTTGGCATTCTGCAGCTGGGCTTTCAGGTCCCTGATGTCCTTCCGGAGGACAATGCTGTCATCCAGATTTCCTCGTGCTTGCAACTCCTCCTGCTTTCCCAGTTTGGTCTCCAAGGGCTTCTTCGCAGGTGGGCTGACCAAGACAGGGTCCAGGTACCCCTGCTCAGAGCACAGGACCTCTGTGAGCAGCGAGGGCCTTGGATTATTGTGTTCCTCACACTCTGAAAGAAAGAGGAACATCTTTCTGATGAGAAGCTGGGCTCACTGCTGTGGAGACCCTGTTGAGGGGAGAAGACTGGTCACTCAGACAAGCACCAGGATAACGCCTGGAGCAGTGCTTTCTTTGGTCTGGTTGTACATCAGGTTAGCATTTCTTACCAAACAGCCCTGCGGAGCAAGGCACTGACACTTTTTCATCTTGTTGGTGGAGAACCCAAGTTCGGGGGGGGGGGGGGGGGGTGAGTAAGCTAGCTAGCCACACACCATGCAAGGCACACAGAAGACCCAGAATTCAACCCCCCCACCCAGCGTCCTGTGTCCTTAACACAAAGGTCAGTCAGCACCTCGTACATGAGACATATGTAAAATGGCCACAAGGACTGAAGAGCAAACTGCTCCCACAGTGTCCCCAACAGTGCTATGATTTTAAACCATTGGGTTGTAACAGCATGGAAAACAGGCCTAGGACAATAAGACCTTCAAAAGAAGTTGGACTATTTATTACAAGCTGTGCTAGGGCGGTGGCAGCCGGGATGACACTCGTGGTCAACATTTCGCTAGTGAAATGCTGGCCAGAGTGTTTCATTAGAATTCATTCATTTCACTGATGTGAATGCCCAGTGGGTTAGGAGCTACAGAAATTCAAACTGGTAGCCTCGTTTGGAAGAGTTCACCAAAGTTCATGTCCCTTCTCTTATCCTGGGCCTTCAGCCACAATTTCCCTGACCCATTACGCGTCAGAGTGGGTGTGGCCTACCGTGGTGTCGCACATGTGACTGACTCCATGTGAGAAGGTGGCCCACACCCACTGTTCGCTTACCGGGGCTGGTGGTCTCCTCACGCTCAGCTTCATTCTCACTTCGGCCACAGGTCTCGTAGCCCAGGTCTTGAAGGTCTACCTGGATCTGCTTGCTGTCCTGTTTCACCAGGGATTCACCTGTGTTCGGGAAGAGACAGGGCGTCTTACAGAGTATTTGAACACCCAATGTGTTCCTTCAACCTCAGCGGCACACTTCTTTAAGGCCAAGAAGTCAGAGGCAGACTGGGAGAGATGCTTTTTCACACCCCAGTGGGAGAAGATAAAGCCTGCTGTAGGCGGTGGGTATTCTCCCCACCTGAGTGAGCCTGTGCTTTCTGCGGAAAGGCTCTCTTCTGAAAACCAAGGCTGAGTTGAGACCAGACGTGGGCAAGTTGGAAATTGCACGCTACCACGTCAGGAAGCCCCAGTGAAACCATTAGGCTCCTTATCCACATGGCCTTAGTTTCAATGGAACTGGAGTGATTGTCTCAAGGCATCTGGCCCTGCCCTGTCCAATAAGGTTGACCAAATTGAGCAAAATTAAACTTTCTGTGCTCACGGGCCCAATATCTGTGTGAATAGAGTTCCTCCTCAGTGTAGCAATTTCTCTAGGATAGGGAACTCTAAATACTCACAGAGCAACAGAGGCAACAGGGTTTTACAGTCTGTTGTGGTACAAAGGAGGAAAGAAACCATCACGTAGAGAGCCAAGTCAGCTTACCAACAGCATGGAGATCAGCAAGCCCGGATGTTATTCAGGTTCCTTCCTATATTTTCACAGTAGCTTTAAAGGTGTGTTTATTTTTGTCTTCTGCATAATGAGTGTCCTGCCTGGGCATACATATGTGCACCATGTGCATGCCTGGTACCCACAGAGGCCAGAAGAGAGTGTTGATGCCCTGAACTGTAGTCTCAGAGAGTTCTGAGACATCTTGTAGGTTCTGGGAACCTAACTGGGGTCCTCTGCAAGAACAGCACAGTGCTCTTAAGCACGGAGCCATCCCTAGCCCTTTCACTGTAACTTTAAAACTTTGTCTTCTTTCTTTCTTACATCCATTTACAGATTGGAGTAAAACACTCAACAGCACGTTTCTAAGGCTAGTCATGGCTGGAGTGTTCGAAGGCTAGGGTGGAAAGATCAAATCTGAGGAGCAGAGGACTTGGTGGGGGAGGACACCTGGGTGAACTGGCGATACTCACTGAAGATGGCCCTGTACTTCTCCAGCTGGTTTGCCTGGGCAAAAACTGTTGCTTCTGAGATGAGCAGCTTCTCCTGGAGGTCTTGATAGCGTTGTCTGCACTGAGCCAGCTGGGAACGAAGGTGTTTGGCGGACCCTGGTAGCCTAAATTCTGGCTGATGTCCAGAGTCTTGGGCCTGGGACTTGTTTTCCAGCTGCGAAGGGAGCCAATACAAGGATCAGGACACTCGGGGGTTACCCTCTATGTGGTGACAGCCACCTTTGTCTGAGTGCTGTGGACTGTGTGCACGTCTGTGATTGCCACAGCAGTTCTGTGCCATTTGGCAATTCTCTGCTTTGCAGACAGAGCTCTTGGAGCGCTGGAATAATGTTATATTCCTCTTTCTGCAGGACTGCAGCACAGTGACAAACAAGACTCTAGAACAAGCTGCAGTAAACGTTTACTTGGTCGCCTGAGGGCAAGAGGTGGAAACCTCCACTCCACCCTCTCTGCCTTCCTGTCCTCTGCTTTCTCCATTTCACTGAACCAAAGGCTAAGTTCCTTCCCTCAGAAGGACACCACTGACCTCTCACAAGGCCGGACACAGACGCTGCAACGCCGTAGAGGAAGCAACAGTGATGAGAAGACGGCATTCACAGCATTTGCCTGGGCTCTGACAAGCGTCCCAACAGTACGGCCATTACATCTAATGAAAAGCCACTCTGCACACCTTTAATCCTAGCACTCAGAGGCAGAGGCAGGCAGAGCTCCGAGTTCAAGGCCAGCCGGTTCTACAGAGCAGGACAGCCAGGACTACAGAGAGAAAGTCTATCTTAAAAAGGGGGGGGGGGGGATTGTGTCTGAACATTCTCCCCAACACACTGAGGATGGGCAGACATCAGTTCACAGCTCGCTGCCAGCGCAGTGTGTAACCTGGAATGAAACGCTGGAACCCTTTCTGATGTTGAATGGGCACCTCTGACTGCGGAGCCCTGCTTGTGGTATCAAGGCATCTTCCCTTCAATACTTCCTGGATCGCATGGCAGAAGAGTTTAACACAAAAGCTGACATCCCCAGCCCCTCTTTGAGTTTCTCACCTCAGCCCTGCCCTCACTTACTTCGTGGGTGTCCACTGAGAGGTCTGTCCCAAGACTGAGGCTCTGCGGTCTGGGGCCATGCCCCGTGGTCATATTCTCCTGTTCTTGGTGTTGATGTTTGCCCAGGGAAGGCAGGCCTGTGTTCATTCTGTCGACCTCCCTGGCCAGGCGCACGAGGAACTCTGGTGTCCCTTTACTGTTCCCTTCTGAGCTGCTCAGGACCAGCTGTTCTTTGAGGAGGTTGATGATGTTGTAGGCACTCTTCAGTTTTCCCTGGACTTTCCTGAACTCAGCCTGAAGGCTGTTCTCATTCAGAGCCCCTTTGGCGACCATGGTCTCCACCATCACCTCGCCCTTCTCCTTGTCTTCCTCCACCTCCCATCCATCAGACATTGCTTCTCCCATCTGTTCTTTCAGCTCTGCATTCTCAAGGCAAAGGCTCAGCATGGTATTCCTGTGAGGAACACACTGAATTTCAGAGACCCATAACTGGCCCTCATGTCGACAATACATGAGAAGACCCATCAGTGCGGGGCATGGAAGAATGGCCTTACAACACTCGCTTCTATAGCCATTCATGGCGGCATTACGAAAAGAGCACAAAATAGACCCTCAGTCGGTTTTTCTTTACTGACCCACAGACTCTCTCATTATTTAATGTCCAGTGACCTCTGGAACACACAGGCAAACTTACAGTACTAAGTTGCTTCTTCTTTTCTTTTTTATTATTTTATTATTATATTTAAAGATCCTCCCTATCACAAATTTGTTATTGTATGTCTTATCATTGCTGTAATTATCACTGGTTCTTAAGTCACCAACTGATAAATTACATAAAGATAAGTAATACCTGTCAGAGCTGTAATAAAAATGTAATTATTTTGTTATTTGCCATATATAGGAGATGACCTTACAGAGAGCAGATACTGTGTTTGTCCTGTTTATCCTGTATTTCCAGGACTGCCACACAGGCCTGCCATATCAAATATTTGTATTTGTTGAAGTAATAAAAATGACTAAACTGAGAACGCTGAGCTAGAAGTCAGACATACAGACAGACAGACACACACACACACACACACACACACAGATGATTCACAGTCTAAAGAATCAGTACTTGGGTATACACCTAGACTAGATTTCTCAGGATCCTAATGCCTTGAAGTTTCAAGCAGAAGTTGTTAGGAATAGATGCATGAGAGAAAACACTTTGGGACATAGAACTCAGATTTTCCAAAGAAGAAAAAAAGATGTATGTCCATTACCGAAATTAGCATGTTGGGGGCGAAAAAAGAACCATGTATAGAAAAGAATATTTAGTTACTTTTTTATATCTTTGTATTTTGGGGTAAAGCTTGATGTTTTCACACTATAAACTAATGAAAATAAAGCTCAACAAGGGACTGAGTGTTAGGTGGATTCCATTTTTTGGTGTTGTTTTTCAGGACAGGGTTTCTCTGAGTAGCCCTGGCTGTCCTGTACTCACTTTGTAGATCAGGCTGGCCTCAAACTCACAGAGATCCACTTGTCTCTGCCTCCTTAAGTGCACCACCACATCTGGTTGGATTCCATTTTTTTTTTTACATCAGTGTTTAAGATTGTATGGAGAATTAAACAACTCAAAATTGCAGGTTACTAACTCCATGGAAAAATAAAAGTAGCCTATCAGGGTATCTATGCATGGTGTATATAGAATTAAGAGATGCACTGCTCCATGATATCACAACTAAATTTATACACACAGATGCCTAAGTAAAACTCACATTTTTAACTTAGGTAAAACTTAAGGGAAGAATTATCAGGATAATTCAGCATAAAGTAACTGATATCTGGAATGACAAGACTTAATGATAGTGGAGGCTGGAGGTTGGCGTCTGGTGTCTTCCTCCATTATCTCCACTTTGTCATGAGATAGGCCAGCACACTGAAACTCTACGGTATCAATGTGTCTTTTCAGCATTAAAAACAAAGAATCCCTCCTTGCAGCCAATGACACATCAGTGCTGTCATTTTTTATAATTTTCACAAAGCAGCAAAGATTATGAAGGTTGCAATTCCATGGTTCAACTGTTTGTGGGTCTGAGAGGGAGTTGAGTGGAGACTGGTGGGCCTATGTAACTCCTCCTCCTCAGAGGCTCTCCCAGTTCAAGCTTCCTGGGTAAGCGATTCTGAGACTTGGTCCAGAAGGCTGCACCCTTAAGGCTCCCATAGATTCTGTCCGTACACAGGCATTGGGGCAGTAACGGTGAGCATTATTACACCAGGATAGTATCAGATTACTATAGTGACAAAAGCGACTGGCACGATCTACCACTGTCTACTGTGACTAACTTTTCTATCAAAAGTATACAGTAACATGAAGGTGGGGGGGGGGTTGTGGTGTGGACCACCCTGGGGAGCACCGATGCCTCGGGTTCAGTGAGGCGAGTTCGTGGATCTGAGGAAAAGTTGGGGCATACCTGATGTGGGACACAGAGGAGAATCCTGCTTCCTCGATTTGAGCCTTTAGCCCCTTGAGTTCCGCCTCAGCTTTTCTCTTCTCCTCTAAGTGCTGGTGGATTTCAGCCCTCAGGTGAAGCATTTCCTCCTGAAGACGCCTGTTGCTGTCCTCTCCTACTGGGGACGGGGGCTGAGGACATGTGTTCTGGGTCTCCATGGTCGCCAGGCTTTTTTCCAGAGCCACCTTGATGAGCTGAAAGAAAAGCATGGTTTAAAGAAGTTGGGCCACTGAAAGGCACCCAAAAACCACAGACAGGCAAAGGAAGCTCCTAATGGAAACAAAGGACAAAACTGAATGGTTCCTTGCTCACGTCAGTCATAAGGGCCCCAGGATTGGCTTGGGGAGCAAGGACATTTGTCGTGAGTGGGAAGGACTTGCCATCGGATGAAGAGAATCCAGAGATGGTGAGAAAGACAAGCGCATACCCACCCTGCGAGCAAACACATGGGGTTTAGCCTGGCCTAATAGATGTCAGCACTTCCATGCTTCTCTTCACAGGGGAGTGGAGGCCCCGACAGTCAGCCTCCAAGACAGGATGCTTTATTGACTTTAGGGCACTGACACCTTGGCTGTGAAGATCATGGCTCAGGGTGCCAGGGATCAAAGGCTAACTCCCCTGCCTGCAACTCAAACTCCAAAGAGGAGATGAAGACTCAGAGCACTCAGAAAACAGCCAGCAGTCAGTCCCAGGGTTTAAGTCATGGAGCTAGAGGTAGAGCAAAGCAAGACCAATTCCATAAACAACAGGAGAATCACACACTACAGTCACTGAGGGCTTGAGGCAAAGTCACCCTCCTGGACACCGAGTTTTCCTTTTTCAATTATCACCCCCTGTGCCAACACTGTCAGCTAAAATTTCTCTACAAATCTAAGCACGTGAGAAGAAAAGTAAGCAGGAAATTTCTCCGTGCCTTTCTTCTTAGGGGTTCTCTTGAACTCGCCCCTAAATATTTCATTTAAAACAGATCTTAAGGTGCCTTTCCTAAGTGGGAGTTTGTGGGTGTTTAGACTTTCTTATTGCATACGCTGGGTGTATCTCTAGCTGTTTTCTACACCTTTAAAGTTGTAGTGACACAAGTCAAAACCTGGGTGTGATAGCCCACAGTGTGTGACTATTTTCAGAGAAGGATTTCCTATTCCCCCTCCCTCCCTCCTTACGTTTTTGAAAAAGGGTCTTGCCTTTTATCGAATGCTAGCCTCAGTCTCACTAGAATCCCAGGCTGTCCTTGAACTTTTGATTCCCCTGGCTCATCCTCCAAGCGCTAGGTTCCCAAGCAGGTGTCGCTGCACACATCTCACAAGCGCTCTCCATTACTTCCTGCTCACGTTGGCTTCTTTTCCCTCTCAGTGACACCATTGCCATCCCTCCACACAGAAATTTCTGTGTCATGCTATTTTCCGTTACCTCTGCTAACACTGTGAGTCATGCTTGTCACTTGTAAATTTGGCCTGGTCATACAAAATAATATCCCAACTACAAGCTAGTAAAACAGTTCATGTACATTTCTATGAAGCATGTGGTAGTCACCTGACTAGAGATGACTCAAATAATAGTTTGCATATGTTTTACATTCACTTAGGTCTCTAACATATTGAGCAGACTAGGACCCAGAGCAAGGTGTGCGGGTCAGTGATTGACAGAGCAGTGTGGGTGGTCACAAAGCTGTCGCCTTTTACTTCTCTTCATAACAGAGCTAGGTCATACCTATGCTGCAGGCTTGTGGTAGCGTTCCTTCACAGCCTATCTGCAAGGGTACTTGGTACCACCGCAACCGAGACTGTCAACTCATAGGCAGCCATGTAGAGGAGGGTTATAGACACTGCTTTTCGGTCTGTAGGCTTTCAATCCTATCTCGGCTTTGAGCCCAGCAGTGACCGGACTATGGACAACGTCTGTCTCTAAGATTCCTGCCAGGTGTAGTCAGCCGATGCCATCTCTACACGTACCACTCAGCATTTGGAACAAAACAGAGGATTGGGTACTGGGCAGGACACTTTTGAAGGTTTATTACTATAGCCTTCATGTAACTGTGATGTGCCTGCAATTCCAGGGCTTGGGAGGCAGAAGCAGGAGGACTACAAGCAAGGCTAGCCTGGGCTACATAGTGAGACCATTTCAAAAGTCCCCAAAATAATGAATATGTAGGCAAAAATAAATAAGTAAACTGTGATTTTTACCTCTCTATATAAACTATTTGCAATGAACATAATTAAAATTATCATCACACTTGAGTATGGATACAATATTCACTCTTTTTTATCCTTGAGTGTTACTTATGCTTAAAAATAGTGTCCAGCTCTAATGAGGTCTATGCATTGATAAGATACCTTCCTGTGTGTGTATTTTATTCAGCTGGTTTCACTATACCCTTTTCTTTTACAGGGAAACATTTTGACTCATGAAATATAAATGCCAGAAGAAACTGAAGGTTCTTTATCCAGTCTATTTCCCATTTTAAAGTAAGAAAATAAATTATTGCAATGATTTATACACTCAGAAATGTCCAATCTTATGATGTGGTGATATGAAATTATAGTCTACAGATTTGCAGAGCTGCATTCCCAGCTATTCTGGGCACATGGGGCCACGGGTCAAATACAGCTGGTAGAGGCCTGGTCATTGTCCAACCTAATTTGAAGATTCACAGCTCTGAAAAAATAGTTTTGGTTTGCTTGGTTTTTAAAAAAATATAGTTTAAATATTAGTGTGTGAAAAGTGAATTTGGATCGAGACTCTTCATTAGTTTTTACCATCTATTAAAAGCAAATATTACAATTCTTTTTCACAAATAAAACTCATATACAGTGTGTGTGAATTATTGTGACTCATTCGGGTCCAGCTTTAAACTACAATTCTCTCACTGTTTCTTGTTTCATATCACCTAACTCACTTCTGTAATTGCTGCTATACAATTTAACCTTTTTGAACGTTTCATGAACCTCCTTCAGCCCTTCACTTTCCCTTGAGTGGAGCAGTCTTGTTTTCACCCTCTCGCTTCATATTTCTCTTGGAGAAGGTCAATAGTTAGATAATATTAGAGGAATTAAGAAATCATCATTTCTCAAATAATCAGTATTAGTCATCATTCGGAAAATAAAAAAAAACACAAGAACAAAGAGCTATCACCTCATACTTATTAGAATGTCATTGTATATATTTTAAGAAAGAAAATGTGCATGAGGCACTGGGCTTTCTCCTCGGAACCACCAAAACAAACAAACAACCCCCCCCCCAAAAGGAACTAGCAAATAGCATAGGAAAGAGCTCTCATTTGTAGTCAGGAAGGTAAAAAACCAGACAGAACTAGTACGCGACTCGGGATTTCCACTTGTGGGCATACTAAAACTGAGGACAGTGTGAATTGCTGTCAGCACTCCCTTGCCAAGACTATTCACAAATGCTGCAATATGGAGTCAGCCTGGGTGTCTATGAATGTATGAGCAAAGAAAATTACATATAATGAAAGACTATTGAGTCTTAAAAAGAGGGCATTTCCTGTGATTTGCTTAAGTCTGGAGAACATTAAGCTATGTGACATAAAGCTGCTCTAAGAAAAACAAATACCATGCTGTCTTCCTGCATGCTTAAATGTGGACTCTGACAAAGCTCAGCTAACTGAAGAAGAAAGAAGAGCAGTTGGTGGCTACCAGCGTTTGGTGTGGGAAAGAAGTCACAAAGCTTCACACAGACAGAAGAAATGGGCTTTGACATCAATTGTCCAACATGGTAGCTATAGTTAGCATTAAGTGTATTTTAAAATAACTAAGTAAATTTCAAATATCTCACCATGAAAAAGTAGGTGAGGTACAGCTGTATTAATTAACTTGGCCTAATTATTTCGCTATATATGTATAGATCAAATCCTAACTTTGTACTCATTTAATTATGATTTGAATGTATACGTTTAATTATGATTTGATAATAAAATATTACTATTTAAAATAGCTTTTTTTTTAAGAAAAGCTCAGATTTAATCTACTGACCTCTTTGCATTTGAAACTTGACTACTATTGAACTTTTCTGCATTGCAAATGTTCAAAGGAACCGCAATGGCTGACTGGTCTCTGGTGTCTTCTGTGGGTGTCTCCTAGGCATTTATTCCAAACCTTACATCCTTTTCAGATCAGAATTTGTCAGCACTATCTAGGGAAGATTGCTGTCATGGTCAGGCTTTCTGGGGTAAGTGTCTTCCTAGAAATGAGGAAACAAATGTGTTTGCTTTGACCCTTGCCCAGGAACACAAAGCCTGTGTTAGGAGGGTGTGTGGGGGTTAAGTTAGGAAGGGAGGCATGGGTCAACATTAAAGTTTCTCTCTCAAGGATACAAAACAGAAGAGCTCAGAGGCTAACCTTAGAAGGATCATTTCCCTGGAAACAAGCAAACAACTCTTTAGAATCTAGACACACAGCAGTTACGGCAGAGCAAGCTTTATTTGATTGGTAACAGGAGAGTCCCAACTCCGCAAAAGATGAAGTGAAACACTGCGGCTTCATGTACAATGACGTCACAACCAAGGTTCTTCCTAGTCAACGCTGGAAATCAGTTTTCAGGGAAAGTTGATAGGAAGAAAATGAGGCTTACCCCAAAGATTCCTCATCTAGTAGGCATAACTTGTGTCTATTAAGAATAAAGTCCTGATCGGAAAGTTTGCTACAAGTACACTTCCTATGCCAAGTACCAAGAAAAGCATGTGTGCCCAGGTGAAAGTCTACTCCAGGATGCGTGTAGAAGGTACTGACCTTCTCAGAGTAAACTCTGACCTTCTTGGGGTAGAATGGCTGGGGGAGAAATGACTTTACAAACCAGTTGGCCTGCAAGACTTGCAGCACCAGGAATAGTTAGAGCACAGAGTCCGAGCCTGATGGTCAGAGTGGTTATCTTCTGCTTATTTAATCTGAAGTTATTCCTGCCTCACAGGTGTTACAACCACTCTGTCCAGCCAACATCCCAATCTGTTTTAGAGTAGGCTTCTGTTCATCCTGAAAATTCTCCCATGAAATCAGAAAGGAAGGGGTAGAGACAACTCTGCCCAAAGGCAGTGGTATATGTAATTAAAACTTCAGCCCACTGGTCAGCAAGAAGGACTTAGAAGAAGCAAAAAGAGGAGTTCAGCTAAGAAAAAATGCTCAAGGGAGGAGTGAAGGGTAGTCATAATTACAGCAACAGAAAGGAGATCTTGATAGAAAGTAAAGAAACGCGTGATGACGTCTGGTATCCGGGACAAACTCGGGTCCTCAAGAGCCCAAAAATGATGTCAAATCCCATCCAGTTAGGGTCTGTTCGCATAGCCTCCTCTTCTCAGTTTAATGTTGTATGTCTCCTCTTTTTCTCAAGCAGGAAGTGTACAGGCAGACCCAGGAAGCTTTACTTCCCCTACAAGTGTTCCTTATAGGCCCCAAGGAAGCTGTCACTAGAGAAGCCCAGATTATTTCTAGCAACCAGCCTTTCTCTACAACAACATAAGAGCCACAGGCACTTAGGAGAGGTGACTGTTGAATGTCACTAGGCAAGGTGGAGACACTCGCTTCCCATGAGTGCTAAGGTCACGAAGGTGCCTTAACCTCTGAGGTCCGGGAATTCGTTCTTGGCCTTGAGACATTACACCTTCTCTGATGACGGGTCAGTGCCAAATTCTGAGGCTTGGCAGAACTGGCTCTCTTCCATCTCACCGAGAGAGATCCCTGCTTTGGAGGCATTCCAGTCCTCTGTGAGTTTCTCAGACAGTACACTGGTCAAGCAGGCCCTAGGCCTTGCCATTCCCCCTCCCCGACAGCCATGCAATGTCTCCCTGTCTTCTGTTTTGTGTTTCAGTCACAAAAGCCAAAGAGGGGAAGCATCCATTGTCTTCTACATAAAAGTTCTTCGGAAGCTAAAGCTGCAGACAGTAAATAGGGACAAAGGTAGGTAGGAAGGGATAAGGCGCGGAAATAAGAAATAGAGGTAGTGAAAACAAATGGTAGACTGAAGAGGAAGAGCGGGGAAGAGCAGGGAGCAGAGGAGGGAGTGAGCGGATTACATGATCCGAGAATGACCGCCTTCCACCCTGGGGCCCTCATGCCTGACTCTGACTTACTTGCTGGTGGCTGCTGTGTGCAGCCTCCTCCTCTATGCTGTCTGTGAACTCCGTGCTGGCATCTTCAGTGTCGTCACCTGCAGCAGCACCTGGAAGGAAGTCCAGACGAGAAAGGTGACTCCTTTGCAGACAGCTTCCAGACAGCAGCTACAATTACACGCTTGCCATCTACCTCTGATTTCTTCCGTTCTTCAGACTCTTGGCCCTTTGGTGGAAGGGAAGACAGAACTAAGCCTTCTCCTATGTCACCTTCGCTTCCTTCCTAACACCTAAGCCTGAGCCTCAAAACAAGCTCACCTTGACTATCCAGCTACACTGTAGAAGCCTTTAAAGCGGCTCTCCCTCTCCCCATCTCAGTGAATCTTTCTCCGCTCTGCTTGCAGGGGATCCTGTTCTTGACATGGCCAGACATTACTGACCTCTTTCCCATCACTGACTGATAAGCAGGCCCCTCCCGTGGTCAGGGCGGCCCCTCTCACACCCTTCCATTGTTGGGACAGGGTGTGCAGAGGGTGGCAGTGTCTCTGAGGGACTCATCTCCAGGTTTCTGGGTCCCAGAGAGGTCCAGGTCAGGAAATGAGCCACGGGGTCACCCAGGGCCTTTCTAATTCCTTCCTCTACCCAGCCCTCCCCCACACTTCTCACAATCTCTCTCTCAGTGCCAACATTCTTTGCCTGGAAGATTCTGTCTACTGTTCTGCTCAAATGGTAGGTAGTCTCATTCCTTCTTCATCCGGTGATGCACAAACACCTATATCCTGCTGTAAAGAACAAGTGGCTGCAGTGAGTGGGCAAAGATCCAGGCTGGGGCTGGGCCAGAACACCTTCATTGAGGATGGCCTTGTTCTGTACCTGCACTACTCAAGAGAGACGGCTTTGGTCAGGAGCTTAGATTTAAATGGCCGCATGTGGTGACTGGCTACTCTCCAGGATGGCACAAACAGGTAGGGCTTATTCCTCTTAAATTTGATTACAATGATGCTGCCCATGTGTTCTATATTAAGACCGGTGACCCACATTACTGATCCTTTTTCCTCAGAACATCAAAGAATATCTACTGTGACACTTTTGTATCTCATGGTATTTGCCAGGTTAGGGAACGTTAAGATCTACTTCTGACCCCACCTCAGCAACCGACCCATTAAAATCCCTGTTTAGCTAACCGGGTAACCTGGGACTCAAAGAGACTCTACGGTTTGTCTACGGTTACACAGCTAATTCTGACAAGATTTGGGCCAGTCACTCAGGTGTCTGGACTCAGGATGGCAAATCTGAGTTCCTTCGGGTGGCAAATCTGATTAATTCTTCCAAGCGCAGACACTCATAAGTGAAATCTCAACATGAATGAACAGAAGAGTGGTCATACTTCCTGCCTATCTCCACAAAGCCCAAACTACTTCTGTTCTACACACCAAGCAGGAAGTGGGCAACTCATTCTGTGTCTTCCAATTCTTAGTACCTGAAAGTCCTTGCAAGCACTTGGACGAGCAAGTGGCTTGCTCGTCTCATCAAGGAGCTAAAAGGTGGGTGGCAAGTGTGCTGACAGCTGAAGGCCCATGGTCTTCACTGAGAATGCTGCTACACCTTGCCAGGACAGCAGGGTTCTCTCCAGCGAAACCATTCACCAGGGGCCAGGTGTGCCACACAGCACAGCAGCCAGTACACAGCAAGACTTTCCAACTGCTCTCAGAAGTGGCAGACCCATCTCCCTCAAGGTCCTGGCAAGTAGCGGGTGAACGAGCATGTTCCCTAAGCCTGAGCCACTTCAGAAGCCCACTAGACCAGAATGCCAAGCCCCCAGTGACATCTGCAACATGTTATCCGTATTTTGGAAAATTTGTCCCTGTCCAACAGTAGAGATGGCATTTCTTCCCTGCAAAGAAAATGAATTTTCTCAGGGACAGATGAAGACAGCAGCTCTCCCCATCATTTCCCATTGTCTCCCTTTAGAGCAGGATAATGACTCTCAGGAGTGAGACCACTCTTCTGTAAGGCCAGCATTCCCATGTCACTCTCGCTGGCTGGGGGGTCTGTCCGTATCCTAAATCCTCCCTGCATTAGGTTCCAGGAGTAAGTTGGGGGGCCTTTCTGCTGCTGGAGTTATATTTCTTCTATTCCTCTTTAAAGAACTGGGAGGGGACAGGGTGCCTTGTTTTTTGTTTCATCAGAAATTAGATACAAGTGAAAGAATAGGCCTAGTTACCCCAACCCTCTATTACATGGAGGTTTTGTTTCTCTCTCCCTTAATGGAGTTTGATAGTTAGTCTGTTTTTTTTTTTTTTTTTCTGAAACTAGAAATGCTGAAAATGTGTTTGAGAATAAAACCAGAAACCAAAAGAAAACAGATTAAAATGACTATGTTCTTTCACACAAGATCTTATGTAGAAGTGATCATTAGACATCCTTCTTTCTGTTATAATTTCCATTTTTTTAATGGACGAAAAACAATTTTCTTAGGGCTGGCACATAGCTCAGTGTTAGTGTGCTTGCCTAGCAAAGCCTGGGGTTGATCCCCAGCACCACACAAAACCGGGCCTGGTGGTGCACACCTGTGACCCAGTATTTGGAAGGTGGAAGCAGGAACAGCAGGAGTTGAAGGTTACAGGTGCACAGCCACACAGGGAGTTTGAAGCCACTGAGACCCTGCCCCACTTCCAGGAAAAAGAAAAAAAAATGTTTTGTAAAGGATTCCCTTTTCTATGCTTTTTACAAGGCAACTGAAGACTGCTGTCATAACTATCGGGGGATAGTTTAACTTTTTAGTTTAGTAACAGAAGAGAGCAACACTTTAACATGTGAATCTCTGAGAGCAATAACCTTGCTTCTCTGAGATGGTGTTTTACATGTCAGCACGCACATGTGGCTTATAGTCGGGTCCTCAGCGGATGCGCTCACTGTGGTTCTTAGAAGTCTCTAGGCTCTGAAGCACACAGAATGGAGGGCTGCCACTTGTTCCATTGATACGTAGGCGTTTTCTATTAGCTATGTGATTTCACAGAGCGCACAGAAATAAAGCAAGGCGCCAGCAAAATCCTTGCATCGATAGTTTAAGCGTTGTGCACACATAAGATACTCCTATCAGTGAGGCAGAAACTCACACTTCCGTGGTATTTTTAAATTGAGGATGGCATGGTGCTGAAGAACGTGGGCTCTGGTGCCAGATCAACTGTTTTATCCTGCTTTGCCGCTAGTTATGTGACGTTAATTAGGGTTAGGAGTGCTATCTGTTCTGGGCAGCACTTGTGGCCTTCACGCAACTTCAGACTTCAAAGGGTTTGCCGATGCCGTGCTTAGAGCAGCGCCCGGCGCTGTGCGAGCAGAATCATTTTGCCGTCGCTGGGGTTGCTGAAGTGGTCCCTGGGCTGAGCCCTGATGTTACTGATTTTACCTGCACGTCTTTCATTCTGAATTGCTGTTTCATAGGATACGTGGGAAAGCCCAGGCAGTCAGGGACAGAGGTGATCCCTTTTGGAAAGCCTCCATTGTCATCATCAAATTAGGCCTGCCTTGAAATGCCACTACGCATGAGTAAGCTTTATAGGAAAATGTTTGCACTTTCTTGTTAGTTCTTCGCCACGTGAAAACTGGGTGAGGTGAAGGCACTCTCCCCAAGTTCCTCCCTTCCGTCATTATTTCTCTTATTTATATGGGAGCAGCAAGGAGCGGCACCTTCCCACGCTAACTTCAAACACGGCAGGGCTCATGTGGGACTTAGTTTGAAGAGTTGAAGCTCACAGACTAGGTCTGCAGGCCAACTGTCCTTTCCCTGAGGATCCCCCACCGGCCCTCTCTGGTCCATCTCACTTTCGTTCCCAGGCACTTTGCCAGCGCTCATTTATCAGAACACTCACATTTTCATATTGTGAGCCAAGCCTTGCTGGCTCAGGATTATGGATGCTGTATAAGGCTCAAAGACAAAAGCTCCGTATAAAGCTGCAGTCTCCTGCCTCCATTCTCTTCAGGTCTTCAGGGCTGTAATGAAGTCAGGATTCTTTACGGTTTACCTTAGCGTCTGCTGAGGTGTTTTTTTTTTTTTTTTAGATGCTGGTTTTTGAAAATAAGTAACAGAGCTTTATTACCAGCAGCCAAGCCTCTCTATATTGCACGTCTGTCTTTCAAATGCAATGGTTCCTAATGTGGCTGTCTAGCATGGGTATTACTAAGAAGCAAGCTGTGTTAAATGGCTGATAAGCAAAGTATCATCAGATGACTTCCCAGGCTACACGGTCTCAACAGGACTTTACGGTGTCTACTTTTCAAGCAGGCTGTTCATTCAATGTTTCACCTATCTTAAACTACTCAGGACATGTATAAATTAGGGCCATCCTGGGCAGAACACAAGGCATGCCCGTAATATCTGTCCTAGAAAGTAATTCTATCAGGTCAAGGAATTTCTCTGCTCATGGTATGTTTTCTTCAAGGAAGAAAACAAACATGCTCTTGGAGGGACATTAAGATGGCACCACCCACCACAGCAGCTGGTCCTCAGAGCAGCCTGCATTCACTACTTCTCTTCAGCAAGGAGAGCAAAAACAGATTTTTAAGGCTTAGCAAGCACATTTCATTGCTATGGGGAAGTGCGATGCTGTTTCTTTGGTCTTGCTTCTTTTAGAGGAGAAAATACCAGCTTTCCTCTTCTTCAGTTAAACAAACATGCATGCACAGGGTCTGGGCTGGACTTAGAATTTTACTACAATGATCAAGAGACTGACTCCTATAAAGGAAAAGAATAAAAAAGATATGAGCTTTATCTTTCTCATAAATCTTTAAGAATGAAACCAAATAGCTTCTGTTGGCCTTTGATGCTTTTATTGGATCAGTAACAAGTTCTGGTATGTCTCACCTAAATTAGAGGATTATGCTAACACACATATAAAGTAAGACTCCACAGCATAGATATTTACAGTCTGACAGCACAGTTCCATGAAGAATGAACTCTGAGAAAATAAGCTTAACTGGGTGAGGAAAGTCCTGGAAATAACTGAGGGCCAAACTTTCTGATCATGTAATGTGTTACTTCTTTCTTCATCTGAAGTTGTTTCTCAACAGCCCACAAAATTTCTCTCAAAAAAAAAAAAAAGCAAGTACCATTGCTCCTTACTGTTAACTAATACCTCAAGCATTGACATGTACGGCTTATGGAACACACCTGTCTACATACGTGCTTTTAGATTGAGCAGTCCATCTCTAGTACAGAGACAGGCAGCTGTAAGAAGCAGGCCCCGGGCACCCTTAGCCACTAACGGCAACGCTACCTGCCTCCACCAGTGTCTAGGGAACAGGGCTCGTGTGTCTAACAGTCCGGTCCTCAGGGTACTTTGGATTAAACCTTTTACAATACTGTAGCACATTCTACTTTGTTCTTCCAGCTTTAGCATGAAGAAGGCAGTATCATAAAGACTTTAATTTCTGGAATTTGATTTTAAACAATGAAAAAGGAAATATAATATAAAACGAGTGCATCACTTTGTAAGCTGGATTATTCTTACCTGAAATCTGGTAAAAACCTGTTGGCTAGATAGCTTTTGATTTCCCTTCTATTTCTCATTCTCTGTCTGTGATAAATTCCAGTGCTATTTTTTATCTAGAAAACTCATCCTGGCTTATGTGATTATATATATATAAAGAACTGAGGACTTACCTTCTGTCAGTACTCAGAGTACATAAAGGTAGTATGTTTATTTTCTAATTAGAATGGAATGCTCTAAAAAAAATCATTGTTACAAATGGCAATGGAGTAACTTCAGTCCATAATCCCAAGTGTAGTGAGATTTGAAACTCTTAACCTAGAGAAATCATTGCCATGTTCAATATACTCGCATATCTTTGGTTTTTATTACTGGATCGCCAGAGATGGACATTGAATTTCCAGACGCTTTTCTCTAGGGTATAAATGGGTCTAGACTACAAAGGAGAAGAGTCTGCTGAGCTTCAGCCTAAGAGAAATGAGGAAATAAATGCCCATGCTTGCATCTCACGGAGTGCTAGTCTATAAACTGGAGACTAACTCCATTTGTTCTGCTAGACAGTATGAGAGCTACAACATGGCTTTCCTGATGCCACAGAAAGTCTTTCTCCTTTTCCTGTAGGACACTGCTGGTGAACCTGCTCAATACTACGAAGACCCTTGTTGAAGAGACAGGGTTTTCAGGAGTTCCAAATGTGAAGATTTTGTGACTTTCTCCTATAAGAGGATCATGAAAGTACGGAATTCTCACAGAAGTTTTCTGAGTCAAGTCTAGCTAGCTTTTAGAACTGCAGCATTCAGAGGAATGTCTAAACAATGGGATCCCAGCTTTGCAGTGACGGCTCGAGGAAAACAAAACTATTAGAGTTTTTAGGACTGGGCTTAATGGTCAGGCACTTCAGGCAGCCAATCAAATGTTACTTCTGAGAAAGGATCGGGTGTCAGTGACCTGCTGCATCTCTTCCCCCACCGTGAGAGTCCAGACCAATGTGCAGATCAGAGGCGGGAGGGCTGAATGAGCCTGCTTGAACTGTTTTGATGCTGCGATCCCAGCGTGTGCTACCAGGAGCACGAACAAGCGTGCGGTGGGAGGGCTTTAGGCATCTCCTCCACAGAAGTCACTCACATGGACATTGCTAAGTCCAAACTACCAAAACCCTTCCAAGGGGACCCTCTGCAGGTGAGATGCTACAATGGGAGATCCTCTTTCTATACAAAATATAGCTGAAAATGTTTTAACATATAAGCAGAAATGATGTGCTTTCCCTACGATTAGCAGTAATAAAAATATGGCTGCTGTCTCTACCTGAACGAAGAGATGTGGGTATGGAGACGGATGAGGCAGAAGTGGGAGAGATGGAAAACAAGTATACATCATGCCAAAGGAGAAGGACAGCACAGTAAAATAGCTCAACAGTTCCTTTCCAGAAGCTATGACTTGGCTATGTTGCTAAAAATAGACCATCAGAAAGATGTTGAATAATTGATCGGACTTCAACAATATAATCTAAACCTGTGGTAGAGGATTCAAGCTCAATAGTGCAGCACTTGTCCAGCATGCACAGAACTCTGGGTTCAAGCCCGCAAAATCAGAAACACAGCAGCAAAAAAAATCTAAAAGAGGAGACAGCTTAGAGAAAGTGTGTCAGGAGGACTTGCATTTTATTCCTTAAATAAATCCTCTTGACGCCTTTTTCAACTCAATAGTTCTAAGAACTAGACTTATCCACTCGACCTCTTATAACCATTCCTACTCTGCAGATACTTCCCACTATTTAAAAGGGGCTGTGAGACAGATGAAATCTATCAATAACGGATTTTTCTCCATTAAAGTTCCCTGCTTCTAATTAAAGAAAGCCTAAGGAAAAATCTACTCCATTATTTCTCTTTCAAGACCTTCCTCACGGAAGCAGAAGCTTTGGTAAATACATGGTGCTTTAAATCTATTATTGTCATATTTTTAAAAATCCCAACAAAGGCAGGCAAAGCCAGCTGACACAGTCTGCACTCCTACAGAGGAAGGAAGATGAGAGCATGCTGAATCCAGTTATACGAGTACTCCGTACAACCAAAGTACCATCCACCGTGGCTCACACATTGCAATTCATCAGAATTCTGCTATGCAACCAGATATCATATTACGGGAGCTTGTGAGCCCAGCACATTCCCCCAGGGCAGCATGGACCTCATCCTAAGCCTCGGCAAGGTAAGTACCGGATTTTAGTCATGTTTATGAAATCAGTAACAAACTCTGAATTTGCCTGTATATCAATCTACTCATTAAGAGTCTGGCAGATTCGCTAATTATTAACAGACATTATTAAAATCACTGTGAACCCTTAGAGCCCTGGAGTTACCCACAGTTGAGACTTAATAGCAGCTTTGCAAAACTTTGTTGGTCAATTAGTAACGTTAAGTAAACATGCTTCCTGCCTGCCTTGTAATGACTTGACAGACTGGTCTTTAGTTCAACCCCATCCTCCTCTTCCTTGTTAGTTTTGTGCAGGCAGGCCTTAGAGCCTCTTAAAATGGGGGACTATGAAAGTCGGATGGTTCTGCTTATACTTCCTCTGTCTTTCTATGAAGTGATTCCTTCTCCCCCTAAGGGCAGTTAGACTGAAACAGCATAGTCATTAAAGGGCAGGGCATCGTGACCAATCTTTGTGAACTACTTCATCAGAAGATTCCAGCTGCCTCTCTGTTGGAACATTTCCTTCCTGTCCACTTGGGATTAACAGATAGTTATCTGTTACAGACACAGCTGAGGTTACAGAATCCTGAATAGAATTCAGAATGTAACATGAGCTGTGTCAACACATGGATGTAACGTGCCATGTCAAAAGGAAAGAAAAAAAAAAGCCTTGGGCTCAGTCTTGCTTAGGAAGGGGACTTGGTTTTTCCTAGGGTGCTGGAATCCTGGGTTGTGATACTTCAATACTATGCTCGGAGAAGCTGAAAGTTTAGCTTCTAATCTGGGAAATCCATGCCTTGCGACAGCAGAATTCCCATGGTGCAGAACCCACAGGCCCTTGCAAGTATCCTGTTCCTTTCCACATTCTTGACACTTAAGATGCTAGAAACAAAATTTTCAGGGCGTTTCCTCTGCCTGACATGTTGTCCTGAGAGAGCAGAGATGGTGACGAGAACCTATGTGTGAGGCTCTGATGCCTCCTGCTGAGGAACCTGAGCATGTCAGCGCCTCACACTGACTTCCCACTCCATTATGAAGAGATGCGCACACCAAAGCAGAGGTAAACAAAGGGTGCCACCCGGGTCACCTCCAAAGGAGGATCCAGAAGCTATACTCTCCTCTGATCCTGAGATGCTGACGGGCAGAAGTGGCGGCCATGCCCCTCATTTCAGCACCCAGAAGGCAGAAGCAGGTGCACGCCTGTAAGTTCAAAGCCAGTCTGGTCTTTGAAAGCACATTCCAGGCCAGCCATAGTGAGACCCTGACAGCACCCTCCCTGACAAAAAATAAAAAAAAAACAAAATTGAAACAAAAAATGGGGAGTGGGTGTGGGAAACACCACACAGAAGATTATCTTTTTACCTAGAGAATTCTGATTTGGGAAATCGTTTTTAAAATCATGTTCTGATTAAAAATCATGCCTGTGGCTTGGAGAAACCCTAGTTAAGTGAAAAACAAGACTTTTGTGGACATGCAGACTAGAACTTAATGTTCACTAACCTGATCTTGTCTGTATCTCTCAATAGTCAACTCTGAAGAGCCTCAGAGGGCGAGACAGTATGGACACTCTTACGGTCTCTGCTCCTCAGCTCAGGCTAAGTCCATCCTCTGGCTTTGATTTTCCTTAGAAGGGTTACGCCATCCCCTAAAGATGTATTTACAGACTCTTAATTTCTCTCTCTAAACCTAACACTCATTCTTTATTCCTTTATCCAATTAAGCATTGCTTTTAAAGTGCAGGGTTTGATTGGATGCCAAAAAAAAAAAAAAAAATGATACACACACACATGCATTTTATGACAGGGCATGGAACATGTGGAATGGTGGTAAAACAGGGAGGGGGGAATAAACTTTATTGGCCCGTGAAAGGGGTAAAGAATTGAGGACAGGCTAGGGAGAAGAGCAAATGTGAATGGAAAACTAAAATGGGATGACTGAAGATGTGCAAACATCCTCCGTGACCTCCCCGTTGGCCTGAGGGATGGGAATATGCAGAAGGAAGGGCGACTACAGTGGCACTTCTCAGCAGCCACCACTGACACCAGTCCTATCGTTAGTAAGTCACTCTTACGCCCGTCGGGTCAGACCCGGCTTTCTCTGGTTAGTGTAAACATGGTTTCCATCCTGGGTTGCAGTGTGACCCGCCAGTGCTCAGAAGCCATGCTTGTGATGAGCTCGCGCACTTTCCAGTTCCCCACCTCCAATGGCGGCCAGGGTCTCCAGCCTGCTTAAGCGCTCCAGACTTCTTCCCAGAACTTCTTCCAGGCGACTGCGTAAGACCTGGACCCCTTCCAGTTCCACCTGCAGAGTTCGGTCTCTCTCAGAGCTAGTAAACATGCCACACGGAAGGAGAATAGGTTAGCCATCAGCTATAACGAGTCCACGTTTTCAAAGAGCCGCCGATGCCAGCTGGGCCATCAGCCTTCCTAAGGGCAGTAGTTTCCAGGACACAGTAAGGGACCGAGGGCGCTGTGCGGCACCTGTGTTCACTGATGGAGCATAAACAAGGCCTGCACCTTTCTGTAATGCCTGCCCCTTTAGCCAGATTTGGAGCCACTCCCACACAAAAATATAGCACATTCCTACAGCAACAGAAGAAAACTTCATTGTGTGCTAAGAGCTTTATGCTGAAAAACGAAAAGCCCAAGAAAACTGAAATGTCCATGGAAACTGGACTGAGCCAAGGGCTGGAGAGAGCTGTTTTCTCATCTGACAGTGCTCTGAGAAAAACCAGTGCAGAGGACTAGCATTCCAGACATTTTTTCCAAGTGGTCCTTAACTAAACAACACCCCCCCCACATCACCCCACCCCACCCCACCCCACCTTCATTTTCCTGAGGTTGAAATACATTTCTAAAGCCGAATGAGAAATTAGAGAAAACTGAATAATAATGAAAAAAATGTTGAAAGAACAAAAGAGGCCAGGAAAGAAGGCAAGAAAAAAAATGAAGGTACTCTGGAATGAGCTGTTAAGATACATATCTATATACCATTGCGCATAACCAAAATTGGTAAGTGTAAGAAAACATACTCATCATGATACCTCATTGGTGACTCTGGGTAGAATTTGCCACCACAACAAATATATTTCTTTACTGTCACTGACTCAGTGTTAGGTGCTGACAGCCATCCTGTGCACAGATGAGCAGGTGTTAGCAGGACACGGAGCAGAAAGGTGCTCACAGAGAGCATTCCCTATCTGCAAGGCCTTTTTCCAGACCCTGACCCGTCTCCTTGGGTAATCTTTGCAGAAACAATGGGAAATTCTATTTCTAATTTTAGATTTAGACACCGAGGCTCAGCCCAGTCCACACAACAAATCACAAAGTGGGTAGATCCCTTTTTACCTCTTTGGTACTGTAAACATCTGTACTTAATAAAAAATAGAAGAAGGAAAAAGAATGAAAGTTGAAAGCAAATGAGCCAGGCAGCCCCTCTCTTACTTCTCCGGATGGGCATGGAACTTGACCAGGCTGCTGTAGAGCTGCCTCTCAGCTTGCAGGGCCTCGTTGAGCCGACTCCGCTCATCTACCAGTCCTTCTAGCGTCAGCAGCAACTAAGGAAGGCAGAGAGAAGCAGCAGTGTGGAAACAGCAAGATGAGACATGGAGCCACAGTAAATCCTGAGAGACAAACCACAGGCTATTCGCCCACACTGTGCCCAAACTGCCGATTCTCATTCCTTAGCCTTTCCACAGTACTTTACAGCTTTCAGGTCAGCCTTACACATCTTAACAACTATTAGTCAAATCAACATGGCAGTGAGGATTAAGAGAGAAAGGAAAGAGAGGTTCAGAGAGCGAGAGCCAGAGCCAGAGCCAGAGCCAGAGCCAGAGAGAGAGATTCCGGAAACACAGGAAGGGGGCTAAGATGGAGGGATGAAGGATGGCAGGGATGAGAAAGAGGGAAGCAGGAAGAACCTAGTAAATTTCCAAAGTCTTTTCTCTCAGTACTTATTGGGCATCTGCATCACACACACTGTTCTAGTTTCGAAGAAGACATTCACCACCCAGAGACAAGTGTCACGGTTTGGCCATAAGTCATATTGAAGACAAGCTGTGAGAACATGTGACAAGCACAGAACTGTTAAAAATTAGTGCCAGACTGGAGTAAGCCAAGTAGTGAGAGAGAGAACAGTGCAGACAGGCATAGCAGACAAGGCAAACTATCTGGAGACTCTGACACTGAGAAGGTTAGACATGGGAAGCCACACAGGAACCTGTGGCTTCTAATAACTTACCTGTTGCCTCCGGTTTCCTGAAACTTCCTGACCCTGAGAGTCAACTGAAGCAACTTTTTCCCGGAGAAGTAAGACCTCTTGGGTCAGGCGTTCCATGGCTGGTATGTCTTCAGGGTCGACCAGTTGCATTTGCAGATCCTAGAAGAAACATAAGCAAATGTAAAACTATAATAACATTACTCAGCAGAGGAGAGACAGATCTTTCTGCTCCACTGCGAGGCCAAAGGATCCGATATAGTCCCATCTAGTGTGAAGACGCCCTATAGCTAGCTGAGCTACAGACGATTCCAGTGGGTTTTAAAGAACTTTGAAAGACCTTTATGAGGTCTTCTTTTATCTGCATGTTCCTGGTCAGGGATTCCAAGTCAGCAGCTTGCACCTGCAGCTCTTCCTCTTGCACAGCCACCATAGATTGTAGAGCTGACAGTTCTATCTGTGGAGACAAGAAAAACCGGCATCAGAGGTCAAAGCTTTCTCATGTCGTAGTACTAGAAGAGAAAATGGAAAACTAGCGCTATGGGTCAAATTAATTAAACGGAGTGTTAAAAGGATGCTCTAAGAGAAACTGTAAGGGTATTTTTAATACTGTCTTCTATTACTATAAGTAACAGGTTTAGTTAATGGTTCACTGGAATGTTTACAAGCTGGTTACAGGCAGCAGAAGCAAGAACTTCAGTTTATCTCCTGTAACTACTTCAGCTAATACAGGAACTTATGGCAGACTTAGAATGCCTACATTTTATACTCCTTAATAAATTACTACAGTCTTAAGCAGCTGCAGGTGCTGACATCATCAGGGAATCACCAAACCACATGCCTCCTGATGCAGAGCATGCTGCCACTACAAGGAAACTTGGCCAGCAGTTATAGCATGGGCACTCGACTTTCAGCGTTGCACCTCCTTTCCCCCAAGATGACAGATTTAACGCTAAGAGAGATCATTAAACACCACGGTAACAACCGCTCCTGCTAACATTCCAGGCATGTCTGCTACGGCCCAGGCACACAATGCATTACTTGTATTTAGTTCTCAACACACCTAACGACCTGGAACCCTCTAGTCCACTCCTACTTCCAATGCCTGCCACCTGACTGCAGCACACCAGGCTTGCTGCTGACCAAGGACCTTTTCTCCTACTGCTCCGTCAGCCACTGTCTTGTCCTCTCAGGTAACAGCCTGCTCAAGGAAGCCTTTGGTCCCTTAACTGAGGTGGTCCTCATCTGGGCTACTTTCCCTTTGTCACACACACTACAGTGTGTAATTACTTTATCATCTATGACTACGACATTTCAGTTGCTTGTCTGTTTGGTGACTGTTATTGCCCTAGTAGGGAGCACACAGATCCAGGGAAGGAGCTTGCTGATTCTGCATGCCCTCTCATCTCCAGTTCTAGCTCTAGGGAATTCATCTCATGAGTAAATCCCCCCCCCCCAGCAATTCCATGATGTAACCTCTCTCCAATGACAGCCAAGACGATGTCTACACTTCAGTGCAGAGACAAGTCGACTGAGGCATGAGGAAATTAAGAAACTAATTTAAGAGCATAGAGTTAGTAAATAGTTAACCTGTAGTGTACAGCAAAGGCGGGCAAATCAGGCCGCCAGGCTTAATGTCTTTCAACAGGTATTGTTGACAGTGGCGAGTTATTTTAAGTGAACATTTGAAAGACCTATTTTAAGATAGTATGTGGCGGCAGAGTGAATCAGGCTTGCTTGACTTTCTCCTCCCAGTCCTCTACTTGGGAGACAGCTGCCTCTGGGAGGCTTGCTTTCCCTTCTGCTTCCCTCAGGGCCAGCCGCCTGTGACCTTGGGCCCACTTGGTGTTGGCAGCAAGGCTTTATATCAGTGTTAAAGCTGATAAAGTGTCTGCCACTGGCTTTATTTTTCAGGTTGTTCAGAAGGAATGGAGAAGCACAACTCCTGGACCCCCTTAAGAGATTACTGTAAGTCAATATCTCAGTATTTGCATCATTAAAGACAACACTAGGGCTGGAAAGATGGCTCAGTGGTTAAGAGCACTGGCTGTTCTCATGGATGACCCAGGTTTGATCCCCAGCACCCGCACAGCAGCTCATAACCATCTGTACCTCTGGTCCCCAGGGAACTGATGCCCTCTCCTGACCTCTGAAGGCTCCAAGCATACATGGGTGTACAGACATACAAGTAGAACAAGTAAATTTATTTACTTTATATACATAAACTATATAAATTTATATATACATAACATAAATAAATTAATTTTTTTAAAGATGATAAACACAAGGAAAAATATTTTGCAGCATTAGGGTCTGCAGACAGACTGACATGGGTTTTAAGTCCTAGCTCAAGCTGCCAACAAAGCGTTTACACTGAGGTTCAGTTTCCTCGTCTGCAAATGAGAGTACGAATTTCTAGGGCCACAAAGGACTACAGAAAACATCTTTAAAATGTTTGGCACATAACAGAAAAAAACCGTTTTGCCTCTTCCACTACCAGACAGTAAGGGAATGTTTACAAACACTGAGAAGCCCATAAGGCTGGGAGGGAATATGTAAGGGTCCTGGGCTCGGAAGTAAGTGGTTGGTTAAGAATACAGAAAGCTGAGCAATAGAAAGCATTTATTCAAAACACATAGTCACAGCCCCTGCAATTTTATGACCCTTAAAATAGGACAGAAGCGAAAAGGAATGTTAACATAGATCGGGAACATGAGGAAAAGAGGAGTGGTGGGTGGGAGCCACAGTGCCAGGAATGAATAATCATACAGCGGCTACAGCAGAACCAGAGCAAGGAACGGCAATGAGGGCGGGGCTCTCAAATCAAGGGGCATGATCCAGACATCAATGCTACAGTAGAGATCAAGTCAGGGCAAAACCTGAAAAAGCAGAGAAACTGAGCTTTCCGAGTCCCCGTAGGAATCCAGGACAGTCACTGGTCGAACTGGATGTTGCAGCTGCATGTGAGTCTTCAGTTCAGTCTGTCCCTCTGTGCTGAGCCCTAAGCTGCCTTCTAATCTATGTCATTAATGGACATGCAGCTGGGTGCATCAGGAAGACATTCTGTAAGTCTGAGAGATCTTCTAACACAGGATGAAAACTCATCGACAGAAAGAATCAAAACCACAAGGTGGGAAAATGTTCATTCAAAGAAATGACTTCGTAGTAAGTATTTGGGGTGTACAGACTTGGGTTTAAACCTCAGTTTGAGCATTACGTGAGCCCCTACGTACATGTTGAAAAAATTATATTTCTATGTTTTCACCCATAAAGTGGAGATGATACTCTTTCCCATGAGATGTGGGTTTGGGCCTTGAAGAGCACAGAGCATGTGAGGAACCCTCAGTGCACAGAACTGCTCACGCTCACATGCCTCTCCTTCACTACTTGCAAAGTTCACATGTCTGATGTCATCGTGCCAGGCAAGGGTTTCACAACACTTCTGTTTGGCACAAGTGCTTGATGATTGTTTTATTTTAGTACTAGGAGGGATAGAAAAAAGAATTGACGCTTTCCACTGCAGGGAGAGCATCGTGTTGATGTGACAAAGACAGACATCCAACATTCATGTCTCTCTCCGGGAAGAAAGGCTCACCTTGCGTCTGAAGTCATGTGGGAGCTGGAATGTTTAAAACATACACCAGTTTGAAAGAAGACATAGGAATTGGCGAACTGGTCCCGACCAGGGAACTTACCTGGCTTTCTCTTTCCTTTTTAGCCATGAGCTCGAGTTCCTCCCTGGCATTGCTCAGCTCTTTCTCCAGCCCTGAAACCATGTCCAAGTCTCCTGAAACAAACGCACAGCACTGGCTTTAACCATGGAGGCACTCTGTGGTCTCTGCTGCCCCGTTTCTGGGAGGTGTACCCTAAGAACACGTCTGTAGCGACATTTATAGTGGAGACCACCACAGTCAACCCGTTTGCTAAAAAGAACAGGTGGGGAAGGCTATGACGTGCTCACCCGGCAGACTCCCCTATGCGCCTAAGAAAGAATGGAACCGGTGCCGGTGAACTGACTCGGATTTCAAGGATACTAACGCTACACGCAAAAGAACGCTTTAATCGAGGAAGGAGCAAATGACACACCCATCCATCTACACATCTAAATTATCTGCTTATTTAAAAAAAACACATACATAGGAAGGAGCACAGTCTAGAAATGAAAGTTATTACTCTCAGGAGGTGAGCAGAACTGAGAAACAGGGATAGAGATGGGCCTCCTGAGTATTTTGTTTTATATATGTAATTTCTGAAGTAACATTTAACTTTTAATGTATAAGTTGATTTAACAATGGGTCTGAAAAGAACTAAAAAAAAAAAAATCCATGTAAGGTTTGGGCAGTTTTTCTTGTAAGTGATGTGTCTCTAGATTTCAGAGGATTCCAGACTGGTTTTCTGAACTCTCATTAAGTTTCCTGACCAGATCGACTAGACAGCAATGGAGTAGGGAAAAGCAAAGCACAAAACAAAACGGCAACTTACCTAACGTGGACCGGGGTACGCTGGCATCTTCCCTAGCAGTCAGTGAAGTGCTATCTTCTCTGGAGGGCACCTGCAGAGAACCCTGAAAACGGAAAGGGTTGTGAGGTTTGGGAAGACACAGAAACTATGCTCACAATGACAGACTTGGAATAGTCTCCTGTAATTTACGGTTGGAATGCACCAGCTGCTGCCTCAAATGTCAAAAGGGAATGCGGTCGCCATAGTATCGCCGTGAGTCTACAGTTCTTACTTGATCAGTCTGCTCTCCCAGGTGGGGGCCGATGGACGTCACTTCAGCTTGCTGGTTTGAGATGAGCGCCTGAGATGACGCCATTACCTCTTTCCCTCCTAAATACTGGCGTAGGGCCTGTAATTCTGAGTTTCTTTCCATGAGGGCTTGTGCCATTTTTTCTGCAGCAGCCTGGTAAGGAAGGAATCACAAGGAACATTAGAAAGATATTAAAGTAAAATAAATAAAATCTACTTTCAAATTTCTTCATTTTTATTTGATGTGCATGAGGGTTTTGCCTGCATGCATGCCTGTGCAACACATGGGTGCGGTACTGATGGAGGCCAGAAGAAGGGCCTCTAGACCTGGAGTCACAGATGATTGTGAACCACCTGAAGGCTCTGGGAACTGAACCCAGGTCCTCTGCCAGAGTAGTGAGAACTCTTAACCACTGAATCATCTCTCCAGCCCCCTCTTCCCTGCAAGGCTCCAGGACCATGAGGGAGAAGGGAGAGAGGAAAGACTGTAAGAGGTCAGGGGGGACCACACTGAGACTGTCTTCTGGACATGACAGGAGCACCACTCTCCAGAACTCACAGCGGCTGTGGTCATGCAAGACCTGCACAAGAGGAAGCCGGTCAACGTGTCAGCATGGAGAGAGGAGAGGCTTTTTGAGACTGCCCCTACCTGAGAAGCCAGTGTAGTTGATGGTTGCTGGGGGAGGGGGAAGCCATGTCTTTAAGGGTACGGACCCTGGGAGGTTCACTTGGATGTCCCTAAGCCCATAAGCATATGGGAATTAGGAATTAGAATCAGTGGGCTATAAAAAAACAAACCAAGTTGAAAGGAGATAGGGTACATCTGGGAGGAATCAGAGGGAAGAAGGAAGGGCAAATATAATAAAAAGATATTATTACATTCTCAAAAAAAAGAGCTTATATTTTAATAGTTAAGAAAAAAATAATCTCCCCCTTCTCCCCAAAAGAGTAAGCAAAAGAAAAAAAAATTGGACCTGTCAACACTTCATCATAGGTGGGCAGAAACTGAGAACCTGTTGACAGTTACTGGGAGACAAGGGACCATTTCTCTGGTGGGTAGTTATTGATAAGTTGCCCTTGCTCCAGTAATTAATCTCCCACTCATGCTTAGATAAGAACCCTCAATTGAAGTCAGCAGCCACACACTAAAAAGACTTGAAAGTACAACGCGTGCTTATTCAGAAAAAGAAGTGCCAGTGGGAATGGGAGGTAGAGGAGAAAGAGAACAAGGGGTGAGGATGACCAAAATTCATTCTATAAATTTATGAACCTGTCAACCAATGGAAAGAATTAAAAATCTAACTAGTTTATTTCTAATCCCAGTTTCCTAAGATGATGATGATGCAAGGGAAAGACCCAGAACTTACTTGTGACCATTATGTATAGAAATGCATTCAGGGCTGAGCCTTCATTTAGGGCTGGAAGATGGCTCAGCAGGTAAAGGTGTTTATCATAGACGCATGAATTTGATCTGTGAAACTCATACAAAGGTGGCAGGAGATAAACAACTCCACAGAGTTGTTGTGTAACTTCCATACATGCACCAGGGCACACATGCCCACACACGCATCATATACACCCAGGCACACATACAGTAGTAATTGTGAACTTTCAGGGGTTGAAATAATGAATTGGAACTATGTTAGCTAAGTTACAGCACCAGTTCTCTCTGGGCTGAAACCAATCAATTGTTCAGATGAAAGAGCCAAGCACCCATCATAAGTTCTAAATGAGAATTAAAAAAGAAAAACTTGTAGTTTTGGTGTGTAAGTTTGGACTCTTTTGAGGTCTGGACAGAATCACCTGAGACATTATCAGTGTACTGATGATGTTTCCTATAAAAGTCTCCCTGAAAACGTAAGAGCACAGACAAGGCCAGCGTAGCACCAGGACAGGGCTTTGTCTCTGCCAAGTGTGTTCTGTGAACCGCATTAGAATCACAGATTCTCAAACCCCTCCTAGTCACTCAATCTCCGTTATAAAAGCTATCCAGGTCGGTCTGGTGCAGGAGAAACCTGAGAGGCAGATGCACAAGAACACCACTGGGGCTGCTGCTGAGCTGCAAAAGCCATGTAATCTCTTGCAAGCACCTCTGTCCCACTATTTTACTAGCAGCTGTGTGTATTTCTTTCAGCAGTATAGATGACTAATTCTTTTATACTGCAAAAGTTAAAAAGAAAATGTAAAGACTTGTTGGTCATTTAAGTCAACAACTCAAACACTTCGCCGTAATCTTGTTTGGTCTATTTTTGAAGAAGTCTCCAAATCCACAAAGAAGGATGTTTCTAACTAGATGTGTATGTAGTTGAATGGATGGGAGAATTAGAGTAGAGTACAGTCGCATAACCACTCAATAATATAAATAAGTTTTACAAGACATTAAGACCAATTAACGTAAGGGAGAAGGAAATCTAGCTTCATGTAAAAACATGCTCACTAAAAACTACAGTGATGTCTGGAATTCCTGAAATGCACCACATGTCAAACAGCCTTGGAGAAAAAGATGTGCAGGAAGCAGGAGAAACTAGGAATTGACCTTCAAATCTGGGTGTGATGGATCAGACTCTAATCCCAGCACTTGGAAAGCTGATGCAGGAGGACTGCCACGAATGAGGCCAGCTTCAGCTAGGCAGTGAGTTCCAGACCAGCCTGGGCTACAGTGTGAAACATGGTCTCAACAAATAAATAAATAGATAGATAGATAGATAGATAGATAGATAGATAGATAGATAGATAGATA